GGAGCCAGACTCTTAGCAGTGCAGAACAGTGGGATGTTGGGGGCTTCAAATACTCTGGAAAATCCCACAAAACACAGGGAATCATTTTGGAGCAAGTATCACCTCAGTGTAGATAGCACAGTTCCCTGCAGTGCCTTGGTTTTCATATCCTCATTACTGCAAATTGAGTCCCCCTGTGAAAGATGCATATTTTATGATTGGCTTTTCACAAATATTGAAACGAATATTATATGTGTTGTGTTAGAAAGGTGTGCTGTATTCATTTTCTTAAGTAGTGTGTTAAATACAGTTTTAGGTTATAACATAATGTTAAAATGGAAACTATGCTATGTAAGATACTTTTTTTAAAGAGCAGAACGAGGTACTCCCATGGAGATAGCAGCCACAGGACACCTCAGTCTTTCAGAGAAAGAGAATTTATTGCTCCATTATCAGAAGAAATGAACTTCTTCCTGCCTTGCTCAGTCCTGAAGACGCTGTCAGGGTTCAGAGGAAGAAGCTGACACTGCCCAGACACAATCCTGTGTTTGAATGGAATTTATGCATCCTGTATGAGGTGTATGAATATGCAGCAGGCTGTTGTTTTTAAGGGTTAATCCTCTGTTAATGTGGGTCCTTTTTCAGGCTTATTTTGCCCAGAAAAGGGTACCCGGACTGTCCCCAACTCTTTGTTCTTATTGTCTCATATTGTCCTAATCCAAATTGTCCAAATTATTGTTACTCTAATTATATTACTATTTTTATAATCATTTAATTACTGTTAAACTTTTAAAATTTTACAAACAAGTGATTGGTGTTTTTCCCAGCCCCAGCAGACAGATGTAGGTTCCACAGCCACACCTCTGCCAGCAGGTTTTGGTGCCACTGCAGCAGTGGTGGCCTCTCATCATCCCCAGACAGGTCCCTCTCCTCCTGCTCAGACCATCCACACCCAGAATGGTTGCATGGCAGTGCTGGGCACTGTTTCTGAGTCCCCTTCCTGCTCATTCCTGCTGAGCTATTAATGGCACCATTCTTCTTTGTCATGGACATATTTTCTGAAAAATGCTTTTGCTAGGATTTTTTCTCCTGAGAAGCTGAGAAGCCTCAGAGGAAAAGAAAAGCAATAATTATCTGCTGCTGTGGAATGCAACAGGTGCATCTTTGACTGGTCCATGTGGATTGTTTCTACTTGATGACCAATCACAGTCCAGCTGTCTCAGACTCTGGTCAGTCACAAGATTTTATTCTCATTCCATTCCTTTTCTTTGATAGCCCCCTGATGAAATCCTTTCTTCTCTTCTTGTAGTTTTAATATAGCATTTTCTCTTAATATAATATATATCATAAAATAATAAATCAGCCTTCTGAAACATGGAATCCATATTCTCATCTCTTCCCTCATCCTGGGACCCCTGTGAACAGCACCACCCTTCTTGTCTGCAGCTGCCATTTACTGCAACATTCCTCTGCAGGTGAGCAGCACGAGGGATGAATGTCAGCTCACATTTCTGGGAAGTGTGTTACAATGAGAGGGAGACATTTGAGGGTAATTAGAAAAGTGCAAGCTGCCCTACCTGTTATAAATGTCAGCAAGCTGAGAATCAATTTGCATTTCTCCTATAGAGAACATTATCACTTCTACATTGTACTACTGAAAATATGACACTGCACAAGGGAAGTATCAGAAGGTCTCCAGTTTTATTCATTTTTAACAATAATATCCATTTTACTATAATTTTTTCCAACCACATTTATATGTGTGTATTTGCCTGGTTGACAGGGGTTGTGCACCATACAAGTGATCTATAGTTAATAGATTGGACTAATAATTGCACAAACCAGACAGAGATTGCCTTCTGAATGTGCTGCCAGGGTGGAAGAGCTCAGAGCACTGCTTTGTCATCTCTTTGGGATCAGGTTTTTGTTTGGGCTGGAATATTTCCTGTTGTGATGGATGGAATTACACCAGGAGACAAGCTGGAACTTACACTTGAATTTACAACAGTTTGCAGAATTCTGTCTGGCACAAAGACCAGCAGCCCTGTGGTTTTCATAGTGGGTAACTGGTGGGGGTGTTAATGGTGCTGCACACCCCTAAGTGAGGGAAACTGTCACCATGAAATTTTCTGGAAAATCCCTTCACCAGGACTTCTCCTCCTGGGAAGCTTCAGCTTGTCCCTGTTTTGCTGCTTTGAAATGTGATTTGGGGATTGTTTACCCAGCCTGTGAATTATTTTAATTTAATGACCAATCATGGTCCAGCTGTGTCGAGGCTCTGAGGAGTCACAGGTTTTCATTATTCATTCTGTGAAGCCTTCTGATGTATCCTTTCTCTTTCTTTAGTATAGTTTTAATATAGCATAATATAATATAATATAATATAATATAATATAATATCATATCATATCATATCATATCATATCATATCATATCATCAAATAATAAATCAGCCTTCTGAGAACTTGGAGTCAAATTCTCATCTCTCACCTCGTCCTGGGGACCCTCACAAACACCACAGGAAACACCAGTGATTCCTGGGCCCCTGTAACCCCAGGGGTGTCACATCCCTCTGGGTGCCAGGCTGACCTGGGTGGGCTGCCCAGGGCTCCTCCACTGGTTGTACTGGGACCTTCTGTAAGCAAAGCATGACCTGGAATCTTTCACTGTCTCCCCTTGAGGTTGGAGGTGTTGCTTTATCCCCATCTGTGGTTTGCTCAGCAGCCCAGGGACACCAGCAGGGCCCAGGCATGGGGCCACTCAGCTCTACCCTGTCCCCAGCTGTGGTGCCCTATGCCAGTGTGACCCTCCCTGTTTCTGTGCTCCTGTGCAGCCCAGGAGCAGCAGTCAGTGATGGATTTGCTGTCCTGCAGCAGCCCCTCTGTGGTGCTGTCACTCTGGTGCTTGCCAGGAGCACCCCAGACCCAGTGGTGCTGTTTGCACTGGCTTCAGGACAAATCCCCTCTGCTCAGACATTATAAAGTCCTGTTTCTTTACCAGCTGTTGGGCACTGGCAGTGTTGGCTTGCTTGGGCCTTTCCACAGGTGTGTGCTGCTCCAGGTCTGTGTCTTCACAGGATTCACAGAATGACCAGGTTGGAAGAGACCTTCAAGATCATCAAATCCAACCCCAACAGCTCAACCCACCCCTGGCACCCAGTGCCACATCCAGGCTTTGTTAAACACACCCAGGGATGGTGATTTCACCACCTCCCTGGGAAGAACATTCCAGAACTTTATCACTCTTTCTGTGAAAAACTTTTTCCCAATATCCAGCCTGAATTTCCCTTGGTGCAGCTTGAGGCTGTGTGCTCTGGTTGTGTCAGTGCTGCTGGAGACAGAGCCCAGCCCCACCTGACTGTAACCACCCTTCAGGGAGCTGCAGAGAGTGATGGGGGCAGCCCTGAGTCTCCTTTTCTCCAGGCTGAGCACCCCCAGCTCCCTCAGGGGTTCCTCTCAGGGTTTGTGTTCCCAGCCCCTCTCCAGCCTCTGGACACACAGGTTTTTGAGGGGCAGCAATGTCAATCCTGCCCAGCTGTCCCTGGGCTCTCCTGTGCTGCCATGTTCAGCAACACCCACAGGCTCTGGGCTAAATTCACCTGCCACTCCCTGCTGCCTTGGCCCATCCTCAGCAGGCACCCAAAAGCTCAATTTTAGATCTCTTGAGATGGGAGCTCTGAGTGCTTTGTCTGAGGATGACCTTGACAGAGCCAGGCAGGTGTAACACTTGTAGGGTTGGCTTGCATCCATCACCTGGAGAATGGAGAATTAGTCAGAAATGTGAATTATAAATCTCTTATAAATCATACCTGTTTTAATTTGCCATGTACTTCTGTTTGAGTTTTGTACATAGCTTGGTGCAGTTCAAACCTCTAGAAAATTTTCCTGGGTTTGCATGCTGACCAAACCAAAACTTGGGGAAGCAGGGATTTTAAGGAGGCGTCCCCATCGTGGCAGTGATTTTCAGGGAAAAATGCTCCACAGCTTGCAGAAGTCATAAACATGCCCAGTAGCCCAGTAAGGCCCTGACCCCATGTCTCAGCAGGAGTGCCTTACTGGGCTGCTGCACCCTTGGAGGTGCTGTTCAATCCTGCTTTCAGGACTAAACCCTCTTTTCCCTAATTTTCAGTTCACACAGACCTTCAGGCTCTGCCTCTTCCCTCAGCAGAAGGTCCCTGATCCTAGGACACTGCACCCCCTGGAAGGAGCAGCTCACAAAGCTCTGTACAGCTCCCAAACCGCGTTTTCCACAGGACTTGGAGAGGCCTTCATGGAAGCGGATTTTTTTCAAAAAACAGACCTGAAAACTAGATGGCACTTCCAGAACCGTGCCAGAGAGCCTCATTTTCTTCACTGCGTGCCACACAAGCACTTTCTTCAAGCTGCTGTGCCCCAGGCCATTGGCTTTATGCATCTAACCAAGGTTGAGGGAAGAGCCAGCGAGCTGTGCTGCCAGGAGCTTTAACAGAACTACGCAGCAAACCACTGAGGCTCGCAGCGACACTGAAACGTGTACTGAGACCACTCCGCTGACCTATTTACTTTCCATGGCGGTACCTTTGTGTCCCACAGCGGGCCCAGAGCTGCAGATCCCCCCCTCCCCCGCTCGCTGAGGGGCCGGGCCGCGCCCTCACGTGCCCCGGCCTTCCGCACCCGTGACCGCCGGGGGGAAGTGACGTCAGGGCGGTCGGTGCGCAGTTGTGCGGAGCGGCCGGCGCGGAGCGGCCGCCCCCTCCCGTCCCGTCCCGTGCCCGCGGGGCCGCGCACGCTCCCACGCACGTACGCAGGCACGCAGGCGCGGGCACCCGCACGCACGGCCGAGCCAGCGCCCGCCGCGCCGCCCGCACGCAGCGCCGCCGCTCACGGTGAGTGCGGGCCCGGGAACGGGGGGGACGCGGGCGGCCACGCCGGGCCCGCCCCGCTGCGCCATCCCGGGACAGCCGCGGCCCGCCCGGCGGAGGGGAGCCGCCTCCGGCCGTAACAGGTACCTGCGCAGGCCCCGCGGCCTCCCCGGCCCGCTCGGGGCACGGCGGGGCCGGGCGGTGGCGGCAGCGCGGCATCGTCCGGGTGCGAACTCGGTGCAAACGGAGCGCGGCGTCATGAGGGCTCCGGCCGGCTGCGCCCCGGGGCTGCGGCTGCGTGCGGGAGCGGTGCTGGAGCCGTGCGGGGGCCGTGTGTGCCCGCGGCTTCGGGAGCTGCAGGCACCGATCCCTCTCGGCCCTCGGCGGTCTCTGGGGAGGCGGAAAGGGAGGAGGTACTAACGGGGCTTGCCGTGCTTTTCTGCATCGTTTGGAGCCGTAGGAGCAGCGGGCAAATGGTGAAATCAGTGCTGTGAGAGAGGTAAAAAGTCAGGGTTCCATGAGGGCAGCCAGCCAGCTCTCAGGGCAGATCTTATTCTGGTGGTGTTTCTGCACGACTGTGAAAATCAGGAGGAAGAAAATAAATGTGTTGCAAAGGAATGCGCAATTTGTCTCACGGTGTTTGCATTATCTGTGGGTTTTTACATTCACGTCTGTGAAACTTGATTTGTTCTTGAATCTCCGTGTGCGTGTTCCCTCCTGCGAGCAGACTTTCTGTCTGCTCTGATGCGATTTTGCTGCAAGATGTGTAATTGTCAGTGTCATAAAAGTTCCACGCTGGTAGAATTCAGCCTTTCCTGGGCGTTTGGGGTGGTAATTACACATTTTAACTCTGAGGTTGGAACGGAGGAGGGCTCGGCAGGCTTTTGGAAATTCTGTGTCCGTTGTGGTTTGTGACAGTTTCATGTTATTTCAGAAAATAATAGGGAATAAATTGAAAATTAATACAATGAAAAAATGCTTTCTAGGATTTTAGGAAGAAGCAGAGCTCTGGGGCTAAATGCAAGTTCTAAATACAATTCTTTCAGGTAGTGAAGCTGTACTCTTCCAATTTGATTTTTTTCTGTTTCTCGTAGTTGATGAACTTCCCTAAATTTGACAATAGACAGGCTTCTATGATTCTTACAGTAAGGACTTGGTGATTTGAGGACCTGTTTGAGATGAGAATACCTGCAAATTCGAAGTTATACAGGAGATGCAGGGATTGGAGCTGGCAACTTCTATCCCCTTGTGCCATAGCAACAACAGAAATTATAGACTTTGAGAAATATTGTGCAGTTTGTTTAACGTTTCCATAAGTTAGAGCGGTTTTTTTGAAGAAAGGAAGGTTTTGATAATATTCTGTGATAATTTGAAGACTAGAGCAATGCCACAATGTACAAATGAAGTTGGATCACAAGCAGGATCTTTGTGTTATGTTTTCTGTGTGGGTTTTGTTCGTGTGAATGACACATGAAACTGTTGAGTCTTTCACATCTGATCATGTTGTCTCCGACCTTACTGACACCGAGCACAAGCAGTGTTGGTGTTAATGTAGGTGTATTTTACATAGGAAAAAAACCCTAACAAACCCTTGGTAGATCAGGCTTGCAGGTGAGAGTTGTATTCACTAGAAAGGATTGCAAAGCCTGAACTGCTCCGTTCCTGGGTTTAGGCTTAGGAAAAAAGAAGGCATGCACACAAAACATGGAGTGCTTGGAGGTGTCTTATTCTTTCTCTGTGACAGCATCTTGTCACTCAAGCAGGGGAGGAAGACTTGCATGGGAATGAGAGTTCCAGCTTTGTATTTTACTTTATGTGTGAGCTTTGAGCAAAGTTGATAACTGTCCTTTTCTTGGCTGTGGCTCTGCATCCTCAGTCTGTGCTGTCACTGTCCAGTCCTGCTCCCTTCCTTGCACTGGAGCTGGTCTTGGCCATCTGGGGGTGTGTCTCAGTTTTCTCAAGCTGATAGATGGAAACCAGCAATCCTTTATCCAAACCTCCTCCATCAGAGCCCAGGATCCTGGCAGGCAGCTTATCTGCTCAGCTGGTGAGGGGTCCCAGTGCAGGGATTGCCTGCCAGCTCTGTGAGCACTGATTCCAGTGCCTGCTCTCCTGGGCTGCCACAAACCTCTGCTCTGCTCTGAACAGGCTTCTCCTCCTTCCTGGGAAATTCAGGGACTGCTTTTGAGGTCTTTGGATGAATGGAAGGACCTGAGTGCTATCTGTCTGTACCAGAACAGCATGGGGTGCCTTGTCTTGGTCTTTATAGCATGAGCCCCCTTTTTTAACTAATTCTGAGAAAAGTACCTGCTTTTTGGCCTTGGATTTGCATCCAATGGCCTGTTTGGTGGCTGAAGGTTTAACAGAACATAGTGTAACCGAGACTTTAATTGTCAGTTATTTGAAGAGCTGAAGTGTCATGAACTATTTTCTTTGTTACTTAGCAGTGGAAATTACTTCTTTCACATTACCAGGCTCTTATGTCTTTTACTTGTATTATGCTTTGACTGGAAGTCAAACGGGTAAAATGTAGAGTGTTATTAAGATGGTAAGTAACTTAGCAAGTGCAAATTGGGTCATTTGTACAATTTCATGGCAAATGGCATTCTGAAAGTGTTCCAGAATGGATCGATGTTAAACACTGCAGTGGCTTGGTGTGTGTGAGTCTGCTTCAGATCCTAGAAGGAAAGCATTACTGGGCCACAGTAGTGTGCTTTAGTCAAGGTGTTTGGTGATTCCTCCCCAACTCTTGTGGTGGAATTGTCATCAAAAGAGCATTAAATGGCATTTGGTAGATTATTATTCTGGGATGTGAAAATCAGGAGTAACAAAATGCATGTGTTGCAAAGGATGTGCAGTCTGTCTCACAGTGTTTGCATTGATCTGTGGATTCTTACATTCATCTCTGTGAGATGATGTTTAAAAGCAGATTCCCTAGAAGCATGCTTGTCCTGGGTGTAGCAGGAAAAGCTGTGTGCAGAACAGATCCAACTGGGAGTGCTAGAGCTTCAGCATTAGCAGCAGTTGGCCTTTGTGCTCAGCTTCCCAAAACCTGGGTTTGAGAGGAGGATGGTTGTCCTGGTATCTGCACCAAGATGAGATCTCACAGGCCTGATGAGAACTCAGCTTGATTGCCTGGCTTTAGCAAGAGTGAAAGGTGAAGGTTTGCACTTCCCAGCATCCTTGTGCACTCTTTAATCAGAGCATCTTTAATAAGTATGATTGCCTTCATTTCAGCTGAAAGAGGAATTCATATACAGTTAGCTCTGTGCAATTTATATACAGATGATGCACTGTAGACACTGATTTGCATATTCATTAACATGAGAATGCTTTGGAGGGAATGCCAACAAAGCAGTTGAAAGACACAAATTCTTTGGGTTCCCTTTATACCAGTCCTCCCTAGTGTTTGATGTGGACTTGGAGCATTCCAGGGAAGTGGACTGCAAGGTTCCACATCTCAGTGTAACAGATGCCCTTCCAAGTCAAATTATGGTAAGAGTGGGATGATTGCAACCACTGGGTAATACTACATAATTATACTTACACATGTTGGGTCCTTCAGAGCAGACCTGAAAATAATTATTTTTAATTAGAAGTGGTCTGACATTTTGTCTGCATTACAGACTGTGAGCACTTTGTGTAGGCTGGTGGCTCTGACTTGTCTGTCAGTGGTGAAAGTACATCCCTGTCCCACCAAAAGTTGAATTAATTTGTGTGTGAGAAGTTGGAAGCACAGATTCATTTGCAGTGGAAGTGAACAGCTTGAAGCTACCAGTGTTATAGGGTTTTTCCCCCCCTTACTTAGATGGAGTTCCTCTCTGTCAGTCTGTACTTCCTTTGAGATCAGGTCTGTGTTGTCTGACATTTTCTATCCATTTCCTCCTCTTCTTCATTTTTGTGTGGCTCCTCTTAAGGCCATCTCCCATAGTGTATGTCCATGTGTTGCTCTGCAGTCCTTGTCTACTGATATTTCTAATAGTTGGGACGTTTTTGTGTATTTAGCCTAAATATTCACAAGAGGCCCTTGCTGGTTTTCCACCTGACAGTTTTTTGTTCAGTGCCATTCAGAATGGTGAGAAGGTTCCAGAGTCTTTTCTCCTAATTGCTGTGGGGACTGTAAGGAGGAGCAGCACTTTTGTGGGATATGAGGCTGTGGGAGAGCACTGTGTTATTTGAGTGGAAAGGTTTATCCATCTCCTTAAGGCTTTAACCCCATAACTGGGAAATGCTGAAACCAAAGTGAAGCTTGAGCCCCTAAGGATTTTGTAAATTTACAGACAAAATCAACACTGAAAGAGGAGCAGAAATGCACGTGAGAAGAAAGTGCAGGGAGATATAAAGGGAACAGACTGAAAGTTTTCAAGTAAGTGAGAGTTGTACTTGAGGGAGAAGAGTACACTGAAGAAAGTAAGGGAGAAAAGAGCAGCCTTGCTAAAAGAAAGTGCTGCTCCAGCAAAATACACCTGTTGATTATGGCACAGAGTTAATGCTGCTAAAACTCCACAGGGCTTCAGTGGAATATAGCACTTTAAGCACTATATATAGCACTATATTTAGGCACTTTTTAAATTCTTGAAGTATAGCTTGCTGTAGAACATTTTCAAAGAGATTTGTTTCAAATGGCTCTAGGTGTGGTCAGGTGATTAAAACATGCTGCTCTGGGGAGCTTTATTCATCCTGAGTGATGTAAATGGCAGCTTGTTTGGTTTGTAGCTCAGTGGATTCTGTTTTCTTGATGTGTAATCACATATGAATCTGAATGAAAAAGGCAATTCTGTGTAAGTAGTACTGTTGGAAAGTGAGAGGAGGAAGCCCATGATGAATCTTCTAATTATCTTATATTGACTTGGAGTGTTCTGTGAAACCTGGTTATGAACTTTCTGACAGCGCTTCCTGATTCCTAATTTTGCACAAATGGCAATTTTATATCTGTTGTTTACCAGGTGCTGCTAATTCTCTTGGCACAGAGCTGGTTTTAGTGCTCCTTTAAAAAGCAAACTATTTATGCTTTATAGAGTCACTTACCCTGGGTTTATCAGTGCAGCTATACTGATAAACTCCACTTGGATTCCTGCCATAACATATCCTGTAACTAAGGTAGTGCATGTGTAATTAAACTTCCTTGTTTCATAAATTTCATTTACAAAGTTTCCCTAAACTGTGTTTAACTGCTTAACACCCAGTTGGTTTAAGTAAGACAGCATCTCAAGGTGTAGAAGAGGAAGTTCAGGTGTCAGCTATTAGCAGTTAATAAGAAAGTCTGGTTTCATAGAGTGTCTGTCTGTCTTGGGTGCTTGCAGGAAGAATTATTGAATGTCCTGAGTTGGAAGGGACACACAGGGACAATCAGTCCAGCTCCTGGCCCTGCACAGCACCCCAAGAATTCCACCATGTCCTGAGAGCATTGTCCAAACATTCCTTGAGCTGTGTGAGGCCTGGTGCTGTGAGCACTGCCCTGGAGAGCCTGTTCAGTGCCCAGTCACCCTGTGGGGGCAGAACCTTTTTCAAATACCCAATGGAAACCTCCCCTGTGAAGTTCTGTGTATAGAAACCTCTAGATCTATGTATATGAAAACCTCTCCTGGGAGATCTGTGTATGTCTGCCTATATATGCAGAAAGTCAGATGGTTGAAGATACTGAGCTTTAAATATGAAGGATTTTTTTCTAAAATACTGGAATAGTGGTTGCAAACAGTATTCTTGTATGAGGCACTTAGAAGCATCTTCAATGCAATTTTAGTTTCCTTGGTGTTTGCCTACAGAGTTCTTTTTGAAAAGGGATTTGGTTTTATTCCTGTGGGTGATGCTGGCTGTAGGAGCCCGGGTTTTGTGTGAATGCATCATTCAGAAATGACTGGACAGGACTGTTGGCTTGTCACAGGCTCTGAGGAACTTGGCAGGAAGTAAACAAAGAGATGTGGGCTGGTCTCTAAATGCACAGAGCCTTTTGCCACTTGCTTCTGTAGCAGTTGGATGTTTGATAATTTAGTGCTGGCAAAGGACTGGAATGCCAGGCTCCAAGTGCCAGTAAGAACAGACCATGAGGATTTATTTGCATCCCTTGGCTAGAGGCTTCAGGAAAGAGCTGGGAAGAAAGCAAGGGTGGTGGAGGGCAGAGAGATGCTGAGTGATTGATAAATGGTGGAGAGGAGCTGAGTGATTGGTAAATGGCAGGGAGGTGCTGAGTGATTGACAGATGGCAGGAGGAGAGGAGTCCGGCACAGGAGAACCCCTGCAGTGGGTTTGGATCTGCGCACCACGGGGGAGCTCTGGCCTATGGAAATATTTTGAAAGCGTGCTCCACAACAGGGAATGTTTCATTCCTGAGACATTCTCTGGCTGACTGAGGCTTAGGATGCTTTGAAACTTCTTCCTGCAGTGATTCTTTCCTGCCTGTAGCTACAGTTTTAATGTTGAGAAGTGGTGGAATTGCTGCTTTTTCATTTGTTACATTCTCTTCCAATACGTTTCCTTGTTTCCAGTTTCATATTAATTGTTGCAATTTCAAGCTTTGCCTACACTTAAGTAAATCCTATTTTTCTTTTTCTTTATTTCCTGATTCAGTTACTGAAATCATGAATCCTGTGTATAGCCCGGGATCTTCTGGGGTTCCCTATGCAAATGCCAAAGGAATTGGTTATCCAGGTAAGCAGCTCCGTTTTCTGCCGAGTTTTGGTTACACTGCTCTTTGCTCATGGTCAAGAAGAAACAGTCACTTATGAATGCCTTCATGTAAATCTGTTTTGGGATTGGGATGAGGTTGCTTTTAAATTTAAAAAGTGACATTTCAAGAGTGATGTTATTTCTTCTGTTATATTTCTAACTTCAGTATCTCTTCCAATGCAGCTTATTTTAGGAGTTCTAATAATTACGCCCTGCAAGAAGAGGAGGCAATCTATTTCTGCTGCCAGTTGACTGGCACTGTTAACCTTTTTATCCTCTAATTCTTGTTCATGCTGTCTGTTCTCTCACTGCCCAAAGCATGGCATCAAAGGTGGCACCAAGAAAATGTTTTTGAAACGGAAATACCTTTAATTTATTGTTTTATCTGCTTCTCATTGACGTACAGTTTTTCATTAGGTTCCCCCCCACCCCCCCATCTCCTGATGTATGTGCAAGGAGGTTTCATTTCTGATGTCTCTATAGTCTAAAAGTTGGATGAGGTAAAATTAGATTTGGACAGAACTTTCCAGGAAGGCTGAAGAGAAGCCTGGGTGCCTCTGGGAGACATTTCAAGCAGCATGTCTTGATGCTGTCTTTTTTTTCTGTTATCTGACAGAAGGGAGTTTCCATCCTGGGAGAGGCTGCAGGGTCTTTTCTGCTCAGCTTTGCATTTCATAAGAAGTCAAACTTCTTTAGCTTTTACAGGGAGGCAGTTTTATGATTTAGTTGGTGTCTGTGTTGGGAGGCAGAAATTATTCTGTGCTGCTACTGTTTATATTCTTGGTAGCTGTACTATATTTTCCTAGTGGTATTTACCATTCCTAAATCTGTTTTTCACCTTGGGTAATGCACTAAAATTCGTTTTCCTGTTCTACTTTTCTCTGTTCCTCCTTCTAAACAGTGGTGCATGAATGAATTCTGCTTATTGGTTGATTGTCTCAAAAGCATTTTAATTTTTTTTTTTTTTTTTTTTTGCTTTTCATGTTTCTCAAACTAGTGTACCTCCCTTGATTTCTACAGTATTTATAAGGGAAACACAAAATGTGTTTATATGTTTTTAGGTGTGTTGAGTGACTGGAATGGTGCAGTAATAAATTATAAAGCTGGCACTATGTAACCATAAGTCCTGCAGGATGCTTTTACTCTCTGAGTTATAAAGGCTGTAGTAATCTTATAACAAGGCAAGCAGCAGAGGCTTACTAATTAATATAATGTATGGGGCAGTAATTTCTGTATTTATAATGGATTACTTTTTCCAGCCTTTCCTTTGTTTTAGATAAAGATTATTATGGATTATTTGAATATAACTTCATATCTTTAGCTCTGTTCATTTTCTAAACTCAGATTTATATTAGCCAGGTTGGGATTTGTACTTATGAGTATCTACATATTGCATTGAGGCTTTTGTCTATACTAAACTAAGTTGTATCTTAATTTATTTAGGACAAAATACTATTGTAAATTCATAAATAGCAGTTTAAACAACATTACAATCTCCAATCTTTTATTCTACTATTATATATACTAGACTATATTTTTAATTATGTAAGTACTTTGCTTGCCATTCTGCATAACTGAAATATCTGGAATTGAAATAGAATTGTTGCAGAAGTGCCTTAAATGTCATGCTACAAGGTGGTTACTTAGAATTCTCCCTTGCAGCAGTTGATGTGTCAGTTCATGCAATTTTGACCCCTAAATTCAGCTTAGTCAATGATGTGTTACTCCATTAGATAGTTTGCTGAGTGCCTGGTCCAAGCTTTAAGATTGTGGGATAAATACAAAGCACATTCTCTAAAATGAAAAGTAGAATTGCATTTTAGGATTTTTTTTAAATGTTGCATGACTAACTCCCTCTTCTTTGCTTCTCCTAAATTAAAAGCTGCAGATTCTCCACTCCAAATCATTGCATTTACATGGGTTGCATGGTGATAGAAAGTGAGGAACACAGCAGTAGGTGGAATGCATTACTGAAAGGCAATGTGTTTCTAAAGCTGTTGCATATTTAATAACTGTTTATATTATACTACACCTATTTTAGGCTGTTGGATAGTTTTGCAGCAGCAAGAAATCAATATTCAAATGTTCTATATGATGGAAGTTCCTTGTAGAAGCTAAAACTGCTGCTTGTTGTAGTTACATTTTCCACAAATGACCTGTTTCTTGTGTAGCTCAGTGCTCCTCAGTGCACCTAAAGCTGTGAACAAAGAAAGAAAGGACTGAAAATGTTTCCCACACACACTGTTGCAGATGTGTAGTGTGTTTGAGTAAGGTTAAGTTGTACTAAAGCTTTGCACCAGCACCTTGGGAGTTTGAAAACTGAAGAGCTATTTACACTCTGAAAATTGTTACGACTTGGAGATGTTATTTTTAACTTTGATTTTTAAGCCTAAGGCTTTTCTTAGTCTTCTCCATGCTGACCACCTCACAGTAGTGCCAAGTGTATGTCACTTGATATGTTTACAGAGTGCTTTACAAAACTGGGTTAGCATATATAGTCCTGAGCTAAGTAATTCTTATTGTTGGGAGTAATTGCTGAGGACTCTGGGGTTCATAGTGAAATAAAAACCCTTCACATTTGAACAGCAGTTTAAAACTGAGCTCTGAGTCTGACAGTGGGTATGCAAATATTAATTGCCTTTTATCTGAAGGAGCTGAAATCTTTCTAAGTAGAGAGCAGAATGTGGTAGGAACTCCATCTTTCTGAATACAGACATTACTTGGCTTTACAGATTTGAATAATGTAAATAGGTTCTTGGGAAAACTAATAGCTATGATTAATTCAGAAATTTCACTTAATCTGAACAAGCTTTGTGTCTTTCAGGTAACAAGCTTTTGCTAATGCTGTGTTGTGCCTTACACTGGAGTATATCACAGTGTTCTCTGGTGCAGAAGTGTTTCACTGTCATTTTGCCAGTGCCTCTGTGAATCACTCGTTACTGCTGTCACAGTGTGTGTCTGAACCTGGGGAGCTGCTTTAATACCCAGTGTAGTAGCAAATATGTGTCAAAGTCAGCAAGCAATTTGGGCTGCTACTGCTTTGTACTTTCTACTTGAGATACCTCTGATCTGGAGAGCCAGAGTCACTCTAACTTCTAGGGATTTATTTCTGTGAAAAAGTCCATTCAGATAAGTACTCTATGTGATGCCTTTTTGGGGGCTACCTAAAAACAGAAGGCAGACTGTTAAGGGAATAAAAAGTTACTTTTATTGAAGGGCCTTAAGGTACCCAGGGTATTCAGGGCAGACAAAATGGACCATGGCTCACAGGTTTTCACACTTTTATAAGTTTGGCCCATTTGCATATTGGAGGTTCATCTTCCAATTCCAGCTTCAGGTAATGAAATCTTTGCCTCAAGTTTGCTCCCCCCAACTCACTTTTGTTTCCATCTCTGGGGCCTGAGGCAGTGAGGTGTCCTTGATTGCCAGGCCTGGAGAGGAATTGTTTTTTCTGACCAAAATGTAAAGACAGTAGCTAATACTCTATATGGAGCTTAGAGCTAGAAAGTAAAGAATTGCAGGATTACAAATACATGAAAAACACAAAAGTGAAAATCTTAAGGCATTGTTTGTATGTCACACCAGGAGGAGGAGTGCAGGACAGTTACACAAAACCTGGTTTTGCAACTAACTTAAGAGTTACTTGGCCAACAGAGATGGCTGGAAGAGGGCTGTAAGAGAGAATGGACTTGTGAAACCATAGCTGCTCTCTTCACTTAGCATTCATCTTCAGGGGGCTTGGCAGAGGAAGATTGCAATGTTTTATTTGAGGAGATGTGATTGAAGGCTGTTGGCTTGCCTCAGTTAAAGCATGTGCAGTGGAGCTTTGAGAGTAAAGTCAGCCTAGAAGGTAACTGTGGTGTGTTCTTTCTCCCAGCTGGCTTCCCAATGGGCTATGCAGCGGCTGCTCCTGCCTACTCCCCCAACATGTATCCTGGAGCAAATCCTACCTTCCAAACAGGTATGTGGGACTGGGGGCTCACAGCAGGGACTGGCCTTTGCCAGGGGTTAGAGGCAAGAATGAGGAAAAGCTGTAGGGGCTCACAACAACACTGCTACTGTGGGATAAGTTTTATATTGCCTTGAACATGACTCATGAGGAATCATCTGATAAATTAAAAATATTATAATCTTAAGTCATACTGCATGCACCTTTCAAGAAGGGAACACCTGAGGTTTTAGCTGTTTTTTTCTGTATTTCCAGATGATTCTTGAGGTTGCATTGCATTTCTCTTCGCTGCTTCTTTCATGGCTCTGCTTGCTTTGCATCCTTCTGGTCATTTCCAGATTCCTGTTTTTTCTTCTGTCTGTTATCCTCAAAACTTTTCTATTTTATCCCTTTCTTAAATTGTATCTTTCCAAGTTCAGCTTGCTGGCTTCTCTCTGCCCTTAGGATTGTCTTGCACAAGCTGATGGTTGCTGGATAAATTCACATTGTGGATGCAGGGCAAGGACTCAGGTTACTGCACTTTCATGGGTGTCATTTAAGGAAGGGAAAGGGATGAGCCTAGGAAAAGGGGAGTGGGAAAACAAATAAGAACAAGGCACTCACCAAAGTTTTTTTTGTGTAGTTCTGCTTTCACTAGTAAAACATGATTTTAATGTGCTAGTCCTCGAAACAAAACAGAAACTGGTAGTGTTTAATTTCCACTTAAAGCAGGAACATGCTGAGACAACAGTGTTCTCCCTATGGTTATTTTGTATAGGAAGGAATTCCTTACATTGCTTTGTTAATGTAGAGCTGGGCATCCTCAGAACTCCTCCACTTCCATGTATCATGCCAGTTTTCCAGAGCTACATGTGGCACAAAACCAAATCTGTCCCTGATGCCCTTGTGTAATTTCTGGCAGTAGGAAAGGATACTGCTTGAAATTGGGAACCTTATGCTGTGGGAGCTTGCTTGGTATTGAAGTTCAGTTTGTAATGGTTGGACTTCATTAACTACCAGGAGACTCTTCAGGGTGTAGCAGCAATTACTGAGACAAAAGACTCATGTAAAATGTTTGCCTGCAGAACCTGTTCAAAGTGTGTAGCTTTCCTTGGAACTGTGTGGGATTCTGTTGGTACAACCTCTGTCACTGTTCAGTTTGCTGCTTAGAGGCAGAATGAGTGCAGGCTTGCACTTTGTCTTGTCTTTGGCCTTGAATTTAAAGTAAGGAGGCAGATTAATGTTAGAGATAGCAGAAACTAAAAAAATCCAGTCCCATGGCTGGGTATTGCCACTGTGCCAGTATCATACCTGGTGATGCCAGCTTGCATCTGCACTGGATTGCTCCAGAGCTCACCCTGAGAGCCATGTTCAAGGGAGAGCAGTTCCCATCGGGGGGGATCCCTTTGCTCAGGTGGCAGAGCCCCATGTGGGCTTTGATTATTTTGATTATTTCTGTCAGGCCTCTCAGTTTCACTGCCTTCTGTGCTGCCCTGTGTGTGTCCTGCAGCTGTGCTGAGCAGGAGCTGCAGGCTTTGATGCTAGGAGCAGGTAACTGAAGGTAGCTCCAGTCCTAGTACAGGCTGCAGTTTGTAAATCCTGCTGCAGGAAGCTGAGGAAAAGCTGCATGGAATCAATTGAACAAACCATGGGAATTCTGGCAAAGATTCTGGACCTGTTAGACTTAGTCATGTTGTAATATTAGTTTGCATTGATTAATCTTGGAATATATCTCATCCTATATACCAAAGTCAAAGAAAGAACCTTTGCACTTCTAAGAAAAAGAAATAAATAAAGATGCATAAAAATCATATTCTGCCATGGAATGTCATTAATTTTTTAAAACTAGTACTGTGAGTCTTTATTGCTGTTGAATAGGAAGTACACTTTTATTTCAGAGCTAAGAATAGCTTTCATTTTTAGCTGCTCTTCAATCTGTGAACAAAAGTTCAAAATGTACAGACCTCTAATTCAGGCAGATAACAACTTAGAGTACTTTGTCCTAACAGCTGGGATGTTTTTATATCTTTTTTTAACCTTTCTGATGTAACAGCTTGTTTGTAGAATCAAAGCTTTTGTAAATTCATACTACACAGCAGTATTGGAATGTGCTGTGCCACTGCTGTTACAAAAGGGTGCTTTTTTACAGGTAACTGTCTTAAATTACTGTGGTTTTGACTTCTCCTGTCATTTACTGTTAAGGTCTTTGTTCCATATTATGGAGAAGAAAAAATGGATGCAATGGCAGAATACCTCTTGTGCAGATTTACCCCTTTGCAAGAATGAAAGGGAAATTGCCTGTGCAGCTGCATCAGTGGGTTTTTAGAATGAAAGTGAGCTTCACTGAGGACATGGTTGCAGTGATTCTTCACATTCAGCATTTTGTAGCTGGGGTTTTCACCACAAATAGCTCTCCATACTAATAGAAGTTACTTCCTCAGCATGCTGGATCTGTGAAATACTTAGGATCTCTAAAAGCAGGAGTTCAGAGTAAGTGCTGTGGTAGAGCTTTTTTAAAGGTAAAAATTCTATTACAAAGAAACAGTCAAGCTATTTCTTTGTTAGCTAAGCAACTTTTAGTTTGAAGGGTGTCATGAAATTGCAAAGAAGCCCAGACTTCTTCAAGAAGAATGAAGGTCATGTGTCATCATGCTGTTTGCACAGGCTGATTTTTGACAGCACAAATGCCACAAATTCTCTCTGCTGTACAACTTCAGATCTGTTCTCTGTATTGAAGTCAGCCCATTCCAGGCAGTTTTTAAAATCAACCTGATCTCTACTCTGATACTCTTTTTTTTTCTATAATTACCAAGTGTCTGTTCTTTCTTGCACTGCCCTGGTACTAATTTATTCAATTCCAACTAATTACAAATTGTACCTGTGGATGTTGTGTCTCCCAGTGTGGTAGAGACCTGCATGAAATCCAAGATCTTTTCACAGCAGCACAGGAAGGGCCTTGATGCTTTCTCCAGACCAGATCATGCCTGTTGTGTTAACATCCCTGAATGTTAAAGCTGTTGGATGCTGCTGCTGAGGTGTTCATAGTCCCACTGGCCATGGAATAATCTTGGGAGTGTAGCATGCAGAAACATTATACATATTATAGAAAATATATGTATAAACATTATGTATAGATAGATATATATCAGTATATCACAGTCTCCTCCATACCTCTTCAAGCACTTTTTCTGACCCTGAGACCTTGTCTGATGAGGGCTGGAGGAATTAAGGAAAAGCTGTCTTTGGGCAGTATGAACCAGCAATTGCCAGTTATCCCTCTAAAAATTCCACAGTTCCAAACATTTACAAAGGCAGGCTGATTTTGGGGGCCTTGTAATAGGAATGCCAACCACATTCTGAGGGTATCTGAAGTCTTACTGTAGTATAAAAACAATTCCTAAGTGATGTTTAAGGATATGTCTACATATATAATACTCAAAAAGAAGATTTAAGGATCTTAGTGCCTTCCAGGTTGAATTTGCAGCTGCACTGAACTTTGCAGTGTTTGTGTTTTAAAGGTACAGCATTTCATGTTTATTTTAGCCAGTTAGAAAATACCAGAAAACAAACAGAAATAAAGGTAAGTTGAAGTCGAGCTTGCAGATTCTGTCTCTGTTCTCTGAAAATCCATCATGAGGTTTTTAGATGATTTTGGCTTTTGAAATTCTTACTCTTGTGCTGTATTATCCCCTACAGCAGGTTTGTTGACTGCTGCTGTGTTTTGGTAGTATGATTTAGGTGTGTGTGGAGAATTGACTGGCACATGTGCCAAGTCCCCCTATGCAGGGGTGCTCCCTAATATGCCACATCCTGGTATTTAATGTGTTATTATGGAAATGTGCTTTTTGCCCTGTATCCACAGACTTGAAAAATAAGTGGTGCAAGTACACAGTTACCTTTTCATGCTTAGTTGACACAGCCAAATACTGTTTCCAGTCTGTTGCCAGTATTAGGCAAATGATAGACCTTGTGCTTGGATATTGGGACTAAATGGAAGTGTGGTGTTACATTTTTGTTAAATGGCATGCTGTGTCTCACCCCCTGAAAATGTACAGTTTATTCCAAGCCTGTGATCCTCCCCTGCAGTACCATGGATCTGTAATTCCATTGGCTCAAGGCTTATTCTGCACCCACTTTGAATCTCCCTGTTAGGCTGTGGGGGGACACCACAGATTCTCTCTTGGCCCTTTTCCCCCTAGGCTCTCCCTCTCTCTCCCTCAGAAACCCTGCTGCTCCTGGGGGTGGGACCCCCAATAAACCCTCATTAATCAGCACCCTCAAAAGCCATGTGGAGTCTCCTGGCCTGCCTGCTGCTACCAGTGAACATCCAGCTTAGGGGCCCCCAGGGACTCCCCAGGGATCCCTCAAACCAACAGCTACAATGAAGTACTCCCATGTGAGTACTTCAAGAAATTCTTCAAGAAATTCCTCTGACTGCCCTGGAGGACTTGAGACCCTGTCAGGGGGCTCAGAGACCTTGGCACAAAGCCCAAGACCCCTCTGCCTTTGATCTTGACCCATGGAAAAAATTACCAACCTTATATGAGGATTTACAAGCCACGAAAGTTTAAGTAGAATGATAATGTATTTATCACAGGGTGAAAAATAGATTTTTTGAGGTTTTTAGAATGGGGTTCAGGAGGCAAGATAGAGGAATCTGGGCATGTTCAGTCTTTCTCCTTCTTCTTGGCCTCCATCTTCTGCTGTGACAGTGGCACTTTTAGATTGTTTAGAGTAGAAGCTCACTGTCTAACATAGGTGATAGGTATTGGGAAGTTATGGTAAATAATGTAGTTTTTAGTATAAAAAGAGAGCACCTCTGAGGTGGGCAGTGTGCCTCTGTCTTACCTGCCACACAGACCTCAGTGGGTCAGAGAAAGAATGTTCTAGATAAGAAACAGCAAACAACCTTGAGAACCAGAACAGAAGAACCCTGACTCCTTCTTCGACTGCCGGGCTGGGAAAAGAAGCTTGTACGTATCTCAGAGTCACTGTGGCCAGCAGGGATTCTGAGAGCCATGAAGCTTATGGAGCTGGGGAGTATGAAAATGATGGCAGCTGCTTCTGGGAAGCAGCATGCTCAGAGTGTGACTGCAGGTTTCCTCTGTTGCAGGTTACACGCCAGGCACCCCCTACAAGGTGTCCTGTTCACCCACCAGTGGGGCAGTGCCGCCCTACTCGTCCTCACCCAACCCCTACCAGACTGCTGTGTACCCAGTCCGAAGTGCCTACCCCCAGCAGAACCCATATGCACAGGTACGTGGGCAGGGCCACACAGTGCCTCTGGGGGCACCTCTGTGTCCCTGGCATCTCTCTGGGAACTCTGAACTCTTCATCTCATTCATTTCTTTGTGCACTGGGAGAATGTTTAGCTGCCTGCTGTAAGAATTCTTAGTACAGTGATTTAGTGTGTGTGCAGCTTTACATCCTCTCTTGCCTGACAGTTACTCAGCACTTACTGGTAATGTGCTCACTTTTTGAAGAGACACTAAATTCAGCAGTTAATCAGAACCTGCTGGATCCTATAACTACCAGTGTCCTGGTTTTATTGTTTGTAAAAATTATCATAATTTTTGTTACGAAGTTTCTGTTGTAATTTCACAGATTTACCAAGTCTCATGCTAGGGAAGCTGTTGAAAACTATTACAAAGGATAGAATTAAGACACTTCAGTAAATATGATATTTTAGGGAAAAGTTGGCCTTCTTTGTGTAGTGGAAACTCACCTGGCATGTAAAGAGTAGCTGAAGAGGATTAATAAGCATGTAACAAGTTTTACTCAGTCTGGTTTGTGTACTTGGATTTGCCAAAAACATTGGATTCTTTTACTAAAAGCAACTGAATAAAAAGTTGTGAATTAATGAAAAGTTCTGTTATGGATTAATATATGAAAGGGATCAAAAGGAAGGGAATGAATGACGCATGAGCCCTTATGGTTGAGCTACTAAGGTCCCTACTTTACATATTATCCTAAATGCCTTAAAAAGGGATGAAATGTTAAATTGCAAATGAAACTATTTTAATAGTTACAATAAATGTTTCAGCTTCTGCTCTGTAAATTCCTTGCATTTAGAGTAATACTTTTATTTTATGATACATTTGTGAAAGAAGCTGTCATTCATCTACAGATACACTGTTTCTTGTACTGTTTTTTCTCCAACAGCAAGGCACTTACTACACACAGCCTTTGTATGCAGCACCACCCCACGTAATCCACCACACCACAGTCGTGCAGCCCAATGGAATGCCAGCAACCATGTACCCTGCTCCGATCCCGCCGCCCCGAGGGAACGGGGTCACCATGGGCATGGTGGCTGGGACCACCATGGCAATGTCAGCAGGTGGGTGCACTCACACCAGGCCTTCTTCTCAGTGCAGCTCTGCTTTGAGCCTGGGAGGAGCACAGCTACATTGCAAAATGTGATGCCACAGGTGCACTGGACAAAATGGTGCAAATGTCGGTTCAGAAGGACTTGTGCAGGTTGTGTGTCTTCACAGATTCACAGAATGACCAGGTTGGAAGAGACCTCCAAGATCATCGAGTCCAACCCAGCCCCAACAGCTCAACTCAACCCTGGCACCCAGTGCCACATCCAGGCTGTGTTAAACACACCCAGGGATGGTGACTGCACCACCTCCCTGGGCAGAACATTCCAGAACTTTATCACTCTTTTTGTGAAAATTTTTCCTGATATCCAGCCTGTATTTCCCTTGGCACAGCTTGAGGCTGTGTGCTCTGGTTCTGTCAGTGCTGCCTGGAGAAAGAGCCCAGCCCCAGCTGAGCACAGGCACCTTTCAGGAGCTGTGAGAGTGATGAGGGCATCCCTGAGTCTCCTTTTCTCCAGGCTGAGCACCCCCAGCTCCCTCAGGGGTTCCTCTCAGGGTTTGTGTTCCCAGCCCCTCTCCAGCCTCCTTGTCCCCTCTGGATGTGCTCAGTGTCCCAAGGTCCTTCCCAAGCTGAGGGGCCAGAGCTGGACACAGCACTCAGGGTGTGCCCTCAGCAGTGCACTTCTGAGTGAGTCCAGCTAAGTCAGGGTTTGTTCTTGTTCAGCAGTTCCTATCACCTCTAAGGATGGAGGTACCACATCCTTTTTCCAGAGTTAGTATTATGGGACAGCAGTTTTTCTTCATGTCTATCTGGAATATCACTTACTCTTGCACCCTTTGTTTCTCCTTATATCAGTGTCAAGAGTGGGACTTTCTCTTCCCACTGCATTTCTCTGTGCCACTTGAAAGAGGCACCTCTTAGAGCTCAGGAAAATGCCTTGTTCTGGGCTCACCCCTCATATCACAGACCTTCCTTGTCTTGAGATACAACACTTTGTGTGTTTGTACTGCCTGCAGGTCCTCTGTGTCATGGGAAATGGTTGGGGATGTCACCTTCCTATTGCCACAGTATTTGGTGGTAGTGTTTTGGAGAGAATGGTGTTTAATCAAAGATTCAGTGTCATCTCTGAGTGTTTGCTGAGGGGATGTCATGCTTTGTTACTCCCTGGGTAACTCACAAAGAAAACTCCACATTCACTCAAGGGATGCTAATTTAAAAATCTAATAAACAGAAGCCATAAGTTTGTTTTGAGATTCTGGTATCTATCCTGTCAAAGTTATAATTTAATTTGAGAAACTTCAAAACTAGAGGAGTTAAGTGTCACTAACAGAGCTTCCTTCATTAGTGGGGAAGAAGCCTATCTGTAATAATGCAAACAAGAGCTAATCTATTCTGATTTATAGTCAAGTTATCTCTACCATCAAATATTCTTAATGGCATATAAAGCCTGCTGTGGGAAGAGTTGCTTATGTTGCAGGGTTTCTGCTAGAGCTATTTTTGAGTATTGAATATCTTTGTATGCATGGGCCTAAACATCCACTGGGCTACAATGGCGCCCTGACATAAAGGTTTGAAGAAGATTGGGACTGGAATGCAAAACAATTCTGGTAATTTTGAAGATGAGTAAGTTGTAATTGTCTTTAAAATTACTTCCATTTTTCTCCCCTCTTCTTTTTTTTTCTCCTTTTTTTTTTTTTTTCCTATCTTGTAGAATTTTTGCTTACTGAAAAACTGTTCTCTTCATTCCAGGTACTTTGTTGACAACTCATTCCCCAACTCCAGTAGCCCCTCATCCAGTCACTATGCCCACGTATCGGGCTCCAGGAACACCAACCTATAGTTATGTGCCCCCACAGTGGTGATCATCCTGGCAGTCAGTGTAAGTTGCATTAAAAGCAGGTAATCTTTCTTACAAACAACAGCATTTCAGGTTCTCTGGGGGACATTTTGCAATGGGGGTGCTTCTGCAATATTCTAATTGAGCAGGAATACTCAAAAATCCTGCTGGGGTTTCTTGAGTGGTCTGTCTCTTCACAAGTCATGAATCATTTTCATGATGTGTGATTGTCAAATGTGAAAGAATGAGCCTTAAGTTGGCCTTAATGAAATACATCTGAAATTAAATATATTCAGTAATTTGGAATCATTGGTAATTGTTCAATTCAGCAGTACTGTGATTCCTAAATTGAATGTATTTGACTCTGTACTCAAATTATCTGTGATTGGCTAAATATGTAGGCAAGGTGTTTTGCCTTGCTCAGAGGGTGAATATTTGTCACAAGCTGCTGAAATCTTGAGATGATTTGAGATAACCTTGAGATAATTTCATATATTCACTGTGTTTCATGTGTTTCAGGTAGGTATCAGTTCATACTTCTTGCAGTCAGCATGGAAGAAGCATTTTTAGTGTGAACCAAAATTTAGATTGTGGGTTTCTAGAAAAGGAGCTTCATTTTGAAATCTGCTATAAAGTGGGATAGATCTGGGGGGTGTAATCTGTGTCAAACTGACAAAAGGACTCATGTTTTTGTGATACCCACTTAATTTCTAGTTCGTTTGGTTATTTTTAGCATAAGTTGAAAACAGCTTCATTTGAATTAGTGACTTGTCAGACCAACTGAACTTGAAATTTTCACTTTTAGTCCATTTAGTTTTTGACAAAAGTGAACTTTGTTTTAACTTTTTCTGGATTTCTGTTTCAGCAGTTAGAAGTGCAGAGTTCTGATATTGCAGATGACCATTGCCTTTAAGTTAGTAATGTAGCAGCCATTCCTCATTTTGCTGTGATGGTACACAGCTGTCTGCAGATCTAAAATGCTTCTTATGAAGTATTTCAGCCAAGAGTCTCACACCACACAAATACAAGAAGTGAAACTTATGCTGCTAATAAACTCATGACTGCTGGTAATTAAATGTAGCACAAAATACCTTCTTAATATTCCATCTTCTACCTTAAAAACAATGGTGGTGCTGACAGAAAGCTGGACTGGACATGACCAGAGCAAGTCCATGTAGTGTGTTCTTACCTCAAAATGAGGCAGGATAACTGCTAGGGCAACATTATTTAAACTTGGCATTTATTGGTGTATGTGGTGCATGCAATGTTCGTGTGTTCTGCCACACTCAAATGGTATTTCACCTAATTGAGAGTATTTCCCACTCTTTTCCCCCTCTTAATGTAGGTTTAAAGATGGGAGATATGCAATCAAGCAATTGAGGTTTAAAAGTTGGTGCTGAAGCCCTCATGCCTCCAACCAGGACTTTCCTTCTGAATGCTTTCAACACTTGGCTAAACACTACTAATTCCTGATCACTGAAGATTTTCCAGTGCTGCATATCTTACATCTTGGAACTCCAGCAGTTAGTCTTAAAGCAAATCCTGTTTTGTGGACTGTCTTGCAATTTTTTAGCTAATTATAATGATAAAAAGGGAGTATAAATTTATTCTGATCCATATCTAGTTGAATGCATGTTAAAACACAAAAACAAAGCTTGCTCAATCTACCTGCAGTGACTGATGCAAAAACCATCATATGCAAATCCAAAGGAACCGAGAAGTATTTTACAACTTGTATCACTAATGCACTGTTGTAATGTATGCAGGGTCTGACAAGGTAGAATCATGAAAGTGAGTTTCTTTCTAGAATGCCATAACATACATTAGATGAGTGCTTCAGCCTGTTTCAGGTTGATGGAGTTGCCAGTTTCAAAGGGGCATATTTTTGTTTAAGTGATGTGTTCTTTTCAAATTCAGCTAATAAATTGGAGTGACTGGAAAATGAGTCAGACAAGCTGTAGACATCCCGCACACCATTAGTTTACTTCATACCTTTTCATTTTCATTGTATGGAATCAGTGTTATACAGATGCTCTTAAGGATCAGAATTAAATGACAGAGGTAATGCTGTGTGTGCCAGTAAATAAGGCAAACTTCCTTGAGGCAAAACTGGCTCTTAGGAATAGTAGGAGGTGGCATCACCTGCAGAATGAATAGCATGTCCTGGGGAGATTTCTATCCAGTACTATCTTTCAGATAATGCAAGATGTGTCAAAGTGAGACTGCCACACAGACTGATAGAAAAACTCTTCCTTTTAGTTCTCAGTTGAGCAAATTCGTGCTGTTTTTCCTAAAGAATGTTGTAGTCAGTTGAAAACATATGTGCAGTTGATCCAGCTTGCTTTCCAGAAACTTAAGAGGTGCAAGGGCTTTCTGCAACAGAGTTCAGCTGCATGTTATTCTGAGGAAAGCTTGTGTGCCTGATGAGTATGTTAAAGGGGAACAAATCATTTTAACACAATTTCCTTATTATCTACTTGCAGTATGGACTATGGATACTCTGTAGTAGGGCTGCCAGAATATAGAGGGTTTAAATAGCAGTTTCATTTTGGTTTTTTTTCATGAAAATATTTGTAATTGAAGTAGGAGCCATTTGTTGGTTACAGCCTTTTGATGTGTTTTCTTAGTATTTTCTTTTTTTTAACTTCCTAAATTGCACTTGGAAGCACGTAAAATAAGACTCGACTGCAGATTAGCATTTCATTGCAATGAGTCATTTGTGATATTCTTTCTTGCAACTTCAATTTTTAAAGTACCTCAAAGCAAATGCTGTGGGGATAAAGGGCTAGCCTTGGAACCCATTTGTATACCAAAATTGTTATGGGAGAGATTTTAAATTTTTAAATTTGAATATTGCACATTAAAACCGAGGTTCTTCTTAAACCTGCTTGATTTACAATTCCAGAAAGATGCAATTTTTTTTTTATACATTCTGCCTGCAATAAATTATGCAGTAAATGGATATAAAATGTTGTTCCCTTTTAAGCATTTACACAGAGGTATATCAGGCTGTCTTGTTCTCGTAGGTTAACTTCCATTCAGAATTAAATTTTTTGAAGTTGTGTATCTTAGTTATGCTTTGTTTGGGGTGTTCTGCTCCTGTACAGGTTTGGCAGCTGATTTGGGGTAGCATCAGTGCTGATTTAGTGCTGCCATCCCAGTACTCTGCCCTGGTGAGAGGCTTGTGTACCTTCGTACCCCATTGGTGGTTAGAGCCTTCAGTAACTTTATTTTTTTCAGTAAGCACTCTCTGTATTTTGTACCCTTTTTTTTTTTAAATAAAGTTTAGGTTTATTTTGCATGAATCACTGTCAGTGGATGGCCCCCTTATTTCTAATGCCTTGAACGTAACTATGTTGTTGGAATAAGTACTTTCAACCTTACTCATGAGCACTTACTGCAGCTTAGGGATTTCCATATGTTTTTATATGGAGCAGAAAATGATCCAAGACAAAGTTAGTTGAATGTGTACTGCTTTGTTCAGTGTGTGTAACAATTCCATGTGTGTGTTAGATTTGCAGCTGTGATCAGTCAGGTGTGGCAGAGCACAGTGAGCACCAGCGCGGGGCGCTCGTCCTGAGCGTGGTCCTGACCAGGAGCTGAGGGCTGGAGCAGTGCTGTGTTGAGGAGGAGCTGTGAGGGCCAGGCTGGAAGTTTTGCTGTCTCCTGTCTCATCCTCATGAACTAAAGTCATAGGAGAGAACTTCCGTGAATGCTGCAATAGAGAAATAGTCAAGGAATGAATATAACTTCCTATATGCTCTAACTTCAGATTCCTCAATGTCATCTTGGAATTGGGCTCTGTGTAGTATTCCATAACACTTAGGCAGTCTCACTTACTTGAGCACTTTTTTTTCTATGTTGCATGATGGGATTCATCCAGGAGGAGAAAGTGTACCTTTTCCAAAGGTACTGCACCTTCCAGTCCTGAGCGATTCTGATCCTACTGGGAGGCTGGAGCTCGTCTCCAGGAGTTCTTCTGAAAAGTAACCAAAAGCACAGTGCAGGGGGATGGGGGAATATGTGTATATATAACTATCTCAATGGTATTTTGTTGCAAATAGTAGAAAGCATGGATATAAAACTGCAGTGGGGGAAACTGTACATCATTAAATAGGCGTTTACACAGCGAGGGTCTTACGAAACATTCTCTCCTGCTTTTTATATAACATTCCCTATTTAGAATTCCTTTATAAATGAAAATGCAGTATGTGTTTGCACTAAAGCTCCTCAGCAACTTAAAAGAGCTAGTGCAGTAAAGACATTTCAGATCAAGCTTCTCTTTAAAAAAGAAAACTTTTATGGCAGCTTTATAGGATTAAAACAAAAGTACTACTATAAACCTGGAACTGAAAATACTGTTGCAGCAATAACAAAGAGAAGTCCAAGAATTTTTTTTTAATTCAAATTTCAAGTGTTGCGTCTAGATAAAGTATTTTTTAAAAACCAAGGTATTCCCTATGTCAGTAACAGCTGATGAAAATGTCTTTTAAATGTAGCAGCAGCGAAAGAAAAATGGCTAATTGGCACCAAAACCACATAGCCCTAGTCAGTGTGGTGGTGGTACTGAACACCAGGAAGGAAAAGAGACAACCTACTGCTAGATGTTGCTTATGCTTGTTGTAACCCTCTCCTGTTTGGAGTTTCTAGGAGACATGCAGGACTGCTGCTCAAGAAAGCTTCATTTTGAGTGTACTATGCAAGTTAAATGCTTAGATGCAGCTGTAGGTGAAAAAGTCCTTTATTTTCATTGAAGTTCTTCCTTGTATCGCTCCATCCACTGATAAAGCTAACCAAACAACAGGCAAACCAGCACCCACCAGTACCACGGTGTCTGGGTGCTGGCAGGAGAGCTGATGGTTCAGAGCTGTGCTCCAGGGTACTCAGCACGGGCTGCTCTCCTGCAGGGTCCTGCCTTCACTGCTCCTTGGCCAGCAAGGCAAGAGCATTGACTTGGAACCACTCCCCAGTGCTTCATTCAGCACAGTGCTCCACACTGCTCCCGTGGGTTTGCTCCAATAGGTCAGCACATCAGTCTGACACCACCACCTAACTCTAGGGTCAAACCAGGGGTGGGAAGTGTGTGTTAGCACACTCCTGTGTGTGTGAAACCTCCCATCCTAGGAAGGTGAGCAATAGTGATGCTCCAGCTGGAGCTGGAGGTGTGGCACAGAGCCTGTGGCCGTGCCTGCTCCATGGCTGCCCTGGGCTGTGTTTGTGCAGTGCTCCTTAGGACACAGCCCCAGCTTGTGTCAGTCCAGCCTCCTCAGCCCTGGGAGGCAGCCTTTGGGAAGGCTGTGAAAGGCACGGCCATTTCAGCTCGCTCACCTTGTTCTCATTCAGAATTGTCAGTTTCTAATCCTGTGTTGTGTCAGCTCGAGGCTTCCTGCAGAGCCCTCACACGAGGAGGTGGAATGCCACAGCTCCTGGCAGGAGCAGGGTGGGCAGTTTGTGCAGGGCTGGCCCAGGGCTGAGCTGGTTCCCGTCTGCTGGGAGGACTCTGGGCACTCTGCAGCCTCTGCCCAGGGTGCTGAGGGCAGCAAGGTGTCCTGTAGGCACCAGGGAGGGAAGAGCAACAGTGGGGACAAGAAACCTTTTCTTGTGCAGGTTGCATATAACACTGAAACATCTGAATTTCACTCCTAGTAGGGGTCCATTTGTGACTTTTACATCTGGACAATTTATGGGCCCTGAAGTTTCAACATCAAGAAAATGAACATGACTTTTCTAAACTGATTGTGACTTTTGGGCACTTAGCAGGCAAACTGGGAAAGCTTTTTTAGCTGGCTGCTGTACAGACTTGTTTTAAGTAGAAGGGATTTGTTAGTGGGTTTTTTTAATTGTAATGCTATTATTGGCTGCCCTCCTGTCCTAAGATCTAAAAAAGTGAGTGCATGCAATGGAAGTACAAGAGGCCCCAGTAATAGTTCTCCATGTTTGTTATGAAATAGACACAGGTTTCCTTTTTATGACTTTTTTTAAAACTGTCTTAGGAACAGTTGTATTGGTACTTTTTTTTAAGTTTAGGTCAATGTTGTCTTCCAGAATAAGTTTTAAGGCATCACTCACTCCTGCATTGAACTATTGCATCAACACAAAGAGTGGAGATTCCATTCTGAGCCAGTTCAATTGTGAAAATTCATACTTTTTTTATTTTTTATGCAATTCAATGAGTAGATGAGCTCAAGTTTAAATTCTTAAAAGCACGTTTATTGTAACAAGAATTGTTATGTATTAATACTTCAGTTTTCAATAAAGATTGACTTGTGTTGCTTATTGTGGTTTCCTTCCTACTGTTTTTGGTGACATCCTTCCAGAAAACATTCTGTGCTGGAGAACAGTATGGTGCATTTAAACTCTTCAAGCTGCTGGAATCTGGTGATTGATGGAAGCAAAGCAAAATGTTGAAATGGGATGAGTGCCTTTGCTCAGTAAGGTTTTCTGATGCCTAACAGAACACAGTGGCCAAGGCTCCCCAGTGGGGAATTAAGCTGCCCTAAGTTGTCCTGTCTGAGAGTGTGGTAAAGATGTTCAACCCTGCCTTGTTCCCTTTTGAGACATTTCTGGGGTTTGAGAGGTTTTCTTTTATAGCTTAAAACAAAGGAAATGGAACAGATGTAAAATTTGACAATACTTGAGCATTTGCTTCATACCAAAGCCGTGCTGTTTGATTGGAGAGGTGACAGCCCTGAGCAGAAAGCTGTTAGAAATCAGTGTCTTGAGTGTTCCCCAGAAGGAAAGGAGCTGAGTAGGTGTGAAGTGTGGGTAATTATCCTATTTCTTTAGTGTGTGGGTGGTTGTAAAGCTCTGGGGGAACAACTAAGCTGCTTGAACTAACTGGCTATTTTCATTTATTGTAGGTCTCCAAAAATAACAATAACTTACCTGATAACCTTCTGGAAAAAAGCAACACATGTGGAAGAGGAAGGTGCAACGTGACTGCATCAATCTGCAGGAATAGTGTTTCGTTGTCAGGATTATTGCTACAGGTAGTTTTAAGTAGTTGAGCTTCTAAAATTGTAGCTGAGCGCAAGGGATGCCATGGACAGATTTTTTTTTTTCAGTGTGTTTTTCCTCAAGCTAATTGTTGGTCAGTTATCCTGGGATTGCTTTCATGTTACAGGTAGATAGGTTTGGGAGTGTTTTTTGCAGAGCACTGCAGCTGATGAAAATTCATACTCCTCAACCAGTGGGTTGCTGAAATCTGGGATGCTATAAAGGGAAAAGCTGTTCTTCAGAATGGTGCTGATCCCTCCCAGGCTAGAAGGATTCTGATGTAGCTATTCTGGGAGTCTGCTGCTGCTGTCAAACCTCACCTTGTACTGGATTCAGCACCTGCAAGGATGTGGTACTGAGTTCTTCAGTCTCTAGGTTGAGTTTCTGTCGTGGTGGTTCTAAATGTACCCATAGAACTGCCAGAATGGTGGCTCAGTAATGCTTTGACTTCTCCCTCTTGCCAGCTGGATTTTGCAGTGGCAGTGTAGGTAATGTGTGTTACCCTCCCCTCAGTGACAGGTGGCTCCACTTGCTGTGGAGATAAGAACTCCCTCATTTAGGGGCAGCTCTGAACACCTGAGAACAACCAGAGCCCCCTCCAGTGCTCAGTTAGTGATTCATAGAAATCAGGCAAGAAATTTTGAGTTTCAAGTTTTCCTGTAATTAATTCTGGGCAAAACCAAAACTTGCTGTTTCTAACATCTTGTTTTGGATTCTAAACCCTGTGGCTTGCTGTAAACCAAGTCAGGTAACAGAAAGTTTCATTGGTGAGCTCCTTTGGAATCAGGAATGATGTACTTACTTAGATAGGATTTTGGGATTTTTTTGTGTAGGAAATGTCAGCGTTGCTGAATTGCATGGATAGAATGTCTGACTCGTGTGTAGGAGGCTAAGTGCACTCCAGGATTTTATTTTAGTATCCATCAGGCTATTAGCTATCCTGTCTTAATCATCCAGAATAGAATGGAGGCCATGTGATGACTTTAGGTTTGTAATGTTTATTTTAAACAGCAGCCAGAAGTCTGTGGCAGCTGTGGGAAGCTGGGCTGTGCCACAGGGAGAATTGCAGATGCAGAGGGGAGACTGTTGGGACAGGAACCCCAGTTGTAGTCCTTGGTGGGCTAAGAGATCCTTCCAATCCAAATGTGACAGAAGGAATTTGACAATGAGCAGCTCAGCTGGCAGCTTAAATTACCACAGTTGGGCCTTCATTTTTGGGCTATAGTAATCTACTTTGTAGTGTTTCACAATAGCTTTTTCTTTTCTGGGCAAGAAAGGTAAAGTATGTGGGCAAATTGATGCTTCAGACAGGGGAAGGGGAACACACCTTCCCCAAGTTTTGCTTTTGCCAGCCTTGTAGGAATTGTAATCATGTGAAGTGCCCAGCTGAGCTCAAATGCAGCTCCCTCAGCTTCAGTGAACACGTGGCTGTATTTGTGGATAAGGTTTTTCTTGATGGTGTGATATAGATAGCAAGTATATTATTTCAGGTTACTGGAGGTTAAAGAAAAAAGCCATAAATTATTATCCAGCTTGGGTAATGGGTGGGTGCTGCTTAGGAGAAAAGGGAAAGAAGTAGGTGTGGAAGGATAGAAGGAACTTGTAAGCAGAATGCTGTTCCATAGCTGCTCTATAATCAGTAGTTAATGCTTTTTGGGAGGATTACAGAATGATGCAAGACTTAGAGTTGATAGCTTGTTTATTTCCCATCTCACAAGTGTAAATGTAGGCAGTCACACACAAAGGTACACAGCTCTGGGGTCAGTACCACAGGTATTTCATTTGCACAGGCTGTGAACAGGGAGCTGCTTTGGTGGCAAACTTGTGCAAAAGAGAAGCTCAGGACGTGGGGAGAGGAGGGGTGTAGTTGCAGGGGGAAAGATGACAGGAGTGTTGAGCAAAAAGACCAAGCAGCCTGCATTTTTCCTAGAAGTGCCAGCACTGCCAAAGCCATGGGATTTGAGTCATGGAGCTTGCTGAGGACATGTGTGGGACACATGGGAGAAATAAGGTGTGAGGTGTTCATGTCAAGGCAGGGCAGCTGGGATTGCTGTGAGGCTGGGAAGGAGCACCTTGGCTTCTGCAGAGCCTGCAGCTGTGTGCCTGGCAGTGGAGAGGAGCAGACTCCATGCTGCTGCCTGGAGCTGTGGTCCTGGAGGCATTTCTGGCTTGTGCCAGGTCACACTGCTGGCTGCACCTTGCACTGCTTCACTCTGCCAGGAGCTGCACTGGTGGGTCACTGCAGCCTGAAGATTGATTCCCTCCCCACACTGCCCAGCTGAAAGAGCACCACTGTATCTTCAGGGGCTGAAAATCAGCTGAAAACACTTGTGGTTTTTTCAGTTCATTTTTATCCACTATCAAAGTTCTTTAACCCATTACTTACCTGAAGGCCTGAGCCTCAGCTTTGCTTGGGCTGGGAGCTCTGGGACAGGAGTTCCTGCTGGTGGCTGGTACAGGACATCCTGGCTGATATTTTGGGTTGTACCAGTGTGGTGCTGCTGATGTCAGTAGCAGTGGTGAGTCCTCCCCCTGTGGTAGAGAACGTCAGCAGCAGCAGCAGCAGGCACAGGCTGAGGCTCCAGCAGTTGAGTGAGGTGTGAGTAGTTCCCTCCTTAAAGCTTGAGCAGTTGCTGTTGTACCATACTCACTGTCAGATGGGCTTTGCAATGCCCATAACCCTCATGAGCAGGTACATGTGGAACTCGACAGGAGAATTAAAACAACTGAAGTAATAACAGTGAAGAAGGAATCAGCACTTGCTGGGTGCTGCCCCACCTGCCAGGTGCTGCAGCTCAGAGTCTGGGAGGGCAGTGGTGCAGTACTTGTTCAAAACTCTGATGGTTGCATACCAGTCTTGCCACAGACTTTCTGAATGATGCTGTTACATGAAGGTGTGCTTCCACTGCAGTGAATCTGGAGGAGCACAGCCTGATACTTTGACTCATCAGGTGAAAGGCCTTTCCATTGAAAAAACGCTAATTTCTGTCATTCTGGCATCCCAAGAAATGAAGTGTTCTCAGTGTGAAGCTGAGATTCTTTTGTTACTGGCAGGTGCTTGGATTCTGAGTTATCCCTGTTGGTGACCTGGTTGTCAGGTGCTTTTGGGAAGCTGTTGGGACACCCAGGTGCAGATGGCTGGCACATGGTTGGCTCCTGGATGACAGAGCTGTGCTGCTGTGCAGAGCAGTGTCCTGCACAGTGGGAATCTCCTGCAGTTCACTGCAGGATCCACTGTCCTGATCCAAGGACTCTGCTGGACACAGAGGGGGCTCCTCTGAGCTCACACCCCCTGTCCTTCAGGGAATGGGCAAAACAGGAGAGACAGTAAAGGCTGCTTTGGGGGAACTCTTCTCTCCATGGGAACTGACCTAGTTCTTACTTTGAGATAGCACAAAGACAGTTTGTGCTGACTTGAACAGTGTATACACCCACAGTGCCTGAATCAGATATTCTAAACTAATAGTTTAAAATAGATTTTTTTCCTCTTTTTTTTTTGGTCAGAGCACAGACTATGTTATTTAGTAGCCACTGGTTCACTTAACTGGTAGCTTCAGGAAATCATCTTTCATTTGATTGACATCCTTTACATAATTCTGTGTTTTATTTGACCAAATGAAATCTGGGCAGATTTAGGTAATCAAGAATCATGGCTGTTTTCACAAGAAGCTTCCTAAATGGATATCTACAGTAGGAGAGGAACAGATAGAACCAACACCCCTAAAAAAAAACCCAAATCACCCCTGACACAATCTCTTTGTCCTTTTCATGTACCTCAATGCAGAACTGATTTTCTGTGGAGTTCAACTGGTTCTACCCTAAAATCCAGAAGGGTTGGTGTTGTTCAGACTCACATCAGGAGCTTCAGTTTGTTTTGTACACAAATCTGCATTCCTGGCCCCTGTTGAAGGTTCAGCTCCAGAGAAAAGTTCCTGATATCTCACAGCTCTGATTCTTCATGGTTCAAATGGACACTTCTTGTGGAACTGGCACTTCTTGTCCATTTAGCTCAGAGATCTTGCCAGAGCTGTTCTTGGCCAGCCAGGAGCCCCATTCTCCCAGGTTTAGCTGATGCCCTGGGATCTGCCCTCTGTGCACAGCCCAGTCCAGCCTGCACACGGGTTCACCCCAGTTCTGACCATTGGCAGAACAATGGGAGCCACTCCAGCCCAAATGGAGGTGCAGCAGGGAAATCTGGGCTGGGCTAATCTGCTACCATCTCACACACGAGTACACTTTGCCATTTAATGAATAACTTGGGGGATGAGATGACTCTGAGTGTCTGATCACTTCAACCTAAGGAGGTCCCACCTGTTCTGTGACAGTTTGTTCAGGAAGCACTGAGGGTTATGGTGAGAGTTGGGAGGTGGTGCTGGCTGTTAAAGTAGGGATGGTATTTTGTGATGAAATCCTTTCCAGAGCAGTCTGTGGGGTGGGCATGTTGAGCAAAATGAGTTTATGGGTTTGAGCCTTACCTGTTTTCTGTGCTGCTGCTGTAACTCCATCACTTTGTGTGAGCAGCTTTTTTACCTGATCTCAGTCTTGCATAGGGGATTGGATCCTAGCTCCAAATGTGGCATGCAAGACTAGAATCCAAACTGAGGACACTTTTTAGAGAGAGTACTGATGGTCCAGTGGAGAGTAGAATTCTTCCAGAAGTCATTAACTGCCCATTGACTGGGATGCTGTCTGGCCAGAGAAGTCTGGTTTGGCACTTCAGAAATGTCTGTAAAAAAAGTGTCTCTGTAAATCCTTTGTGTGCACTGGTCAGAGGTGCAGCCAGTTCTGGAAGAGCTGATAAATGATGTGATTATTTTAACCACTGGATGCATATTTACTGCTCAGAGTATTGCTACACAGGCAAGTAATAATAATAGCCAATTCTTGTGTGTGTTTCAATGGGGAGGAAGGGCAGGGTTGTTGCACTTCACAGCTGCTGCACTGCAGGGTCCTGTGTCACAGTCACCCCATTTCCCTTGGGAGAAGAGGTGAGGATTTCTACCAGAGTGCCTTCATTGTAGATGTAAAGCTGAGTATATTAAGCAACATTCTGCCTAAGACCAGGTCAGACATTGCAGCAAGGGGAGCTTTGAATAATGTCAGCACTTCCTTCACACTGGGGACAGAGTGGTTTTGAGAGGGATGTAAAGAGCTTTGAGGAGAATCTTCATCCTTGAGAGAATGAGATAGCAACTGGACAAAGCTATGAGCAACCTGTCACAGCTGGCCATGCTCAGTGTGGGGTGTGATCCTGTATTTGTGTTGGGGAGAGGATTGTCCTCTGCCCCTCTACCCCCCTTCACTTACTACAAAGCTGATGATAAGCTCAGAAAATTGATAATATCAGTGCCAACAGCTTTTCTTCCTGGCCAATCAAAACAAACATGCCATGGATAAGGAAAGGAGGGTGCAGACACTTAGGGTAAACACAGAAATGACAATTGCCTTCTGTTAATGAGTGGTGCTGGCTGCAGCTGGCTGACATAGCTCTGTGTGTGTGTGTGTGTGTGTGTCAGGGTCTCTTGGTCACCATCTCCCCCTGTGGGTGTCTGCACACACGTGGCAGTGCCTCAGTGTGTCTGGGTGTCCTTCAGTGTCCCCACGTCTTTGTCTCTTGGTGTCTGTGTATGTTCTGCTAATACTGCTGTAACTGCCTCATCTCAGTGGCTTCTTAGAGAGTATTTTAAATTTTTCTCCTTTTGCCCCCCCTCCCCCCCAGCATTGACCCAGTGTCTCCCCAGAGCAGAGAGTGACCCCTCTGGTCGGGTCCCTGTGTCCCCACAGCTGGGATGGCTGCTCTGAGGTCACCTTCTGGCAGGGCCCCTGTGGCTGAGCAGCCCCTGGTGGAGCTGCAAGAGCACAATCCCCACAGTGGCTTTGGAAAGAAACAGCTTCACACAGATAGACGGGCTGGAGACAAACACAGGCTGAGAGTCACTTTTACAAGTTTCTTTATGAAATTAAATGTTGCCCCTGGTCTGGGGGGAAGATATAGTGCAAGAAGGACTTTGTACATGCTACTGAATTCAGATATCCCTGGATGACCAGACTTTGGTCAGCTACAGCATCAACAAACACTGGATTTCTGAGCTCTGCAGACAGTTAGTGCTCACTCACACTTGAGCTGGAATGAGCCAGTGTCTTCCTTCCACTGTCACAGGATGTCTCCTAATCTAGGGAATTCAGTCAGTATGGCTTCTAACTCTCACTATGGTAAGGCAAATCTTTCTTTTTGCTAACCAAGGTTTAGATTCATTCTTTTTGGCCACCATTTGAAACTTGGGTACTTAAAGTGAGGCTCTTTATGCCAAATTTAGGCCTTTATCAAGTGGTTTTTCCACTTTTAAAAGTGTCAGTAACACTCCTTGAATTTGAGGGTCTGTGGGAGTTTGCATAACAATGACGTTGCAGAGTTGAACAGCAGACTCTGACTTCTGGGAGCTAGGTTTGCAAATATTGACCTTTCTTTAAAAAAAAAAAAAAAAGAAAAGAAAAATTAAACAGACAAAACAGGCATCAAGTTAACAACATCTGACAAGAACAATTACAGACTTACAAAATACACAGTTCTGATTTTTACCATAAATAAACACATTACAAACAATGAGCATTTTCATTGGCCAGGAAATATGGCAGAATGATGGAGAGACGAGAATCTAAAGAATTGAGTATGGTATTAATTAGGCACATTTTTCTCTAACTTATGTAACTCAAACCCACTAGAGAGATTCTTCGACTTGACTCATGCTGCAGGTTGGCACAGTTTAATGTGGGGCACCGTTCACCGGTGCTGCTGGACTAAAGGAAGGGAGGAGGTCACAGTGCAGTGCTCACTGTGCTCTGAGGGCCTGCAGAGGCTGCTGACTTAGCTGGACACGTGGAGGAGGATCACAGCTCTGAGAAATGCAGGGCATGGGGTGGGCAGAGCAGGAGGTTCATCCCTCCTCACCACGGACTCTGAGCTGTTCTGAGCGCGGCAGCGGCCACAGGGCCAGCGGGTCCATGGGCTGCCCTGGCCTGTGGCAGCTGCCAGCCAGCAGTGGCGGGCACAGCAGGAAGGAGTGAGTCCAAGTACAGCTGACAAGGTAAATCTCTGGGCTGCAGCCTGTCCAGCTCCCTGCTGTGTGCTCCTGGAGCTGTGCCTGCTGGGCAGGGCAGGGCTGGCTCCGTGGCACCGCTGCACTCAGCCTCACCTGGGAGCCAGCGGGTCAGCCGGGCTGCAAAATAAATAGGGAAGGCAGGAGCACCTGTGCCATCCTCTGTGAGCACAGGGCTGGCTGAACCTGGGCTCCACCTGCCAGCAGAGGGATAAAGTGCTTTCTCAGAAGGGCTTCAGGCACAAACAGGGGCTGCTGCCCCTATTTCCGGAACGGCGTCAGCCTGCTGATGTTCTGCCAGAAGTTCGAGGGCTTGCGCTTGGGCTCTGCCAGCATGAAGACCTGCTGCTGAGGGAGCGTGCTGGGCAGCGTGGGGTGCTTCTGCCGCAGCAGGAACTCGTAGTAGGGCCTGGTGACAGCTGGGAGGAGGAGGAGGAGATGGGAAGCGTGTTAGTGTTTTGTGGAGACAAACAAAACTCCACACCTTTGTGAAAGTTGTAAAGCTGGTATGTTTAATGTTTATTACAGCTCTGGACGCAGGTGGAGATTCCTCTCCAAAAGACATGCATGCCTCTGGGAACTCTAGATTTGTTTTTTTATCTCTCTCTCAAATCCATATGTATGAAATTTCACAATAGGTTCATACATATTCATTTTTACAAATTTTGTGTGACATTTGCCAAAAGAATTCCTAGGTCAGGCTGACCTGCTCTCACAGCAGTCTCTCTGTCTCCCCCCTTTGCTCTGTCCTTTGGCTGAAGCACAGCCTCTCTCTGAGCTTAGGCTTTCTACAGGAACAGGCAATCAGACTAAACAGCTATGTTTTCAAACTACAGACTTAAAGATGTACATTTCACCTAAATCAAAATGGATTTCTACTCTGTCTCATTAGTCAAACACAGCTCCTTTCCCCCACTCTACTGCCATCCCCACTCCCCGTTAAAGCTGCAGGGCTGTGAATTGGGTTTGTCTTAGTGTAACCTTTCTTTCAATTTATCCTTACTTTCAGCAGTGCCTTTTAGGATTAGAGCTCATGTGGAAGGCCCAGAAATGTGCTGTACAGCTGTCAGGTGTTCTGCCAGCACGACAGCAGGGCTAGAGAGCTGCAGCTCATGACTGGTGACAAACTTAGCTGGTGCTTCTGGCTGTGCTGGGAGAAGCAGCTGCTGTGCAAGTGCTGCTGGTGCCTGTTACAGCCTCCTGGGCTGGATCTCTGACTAGGAATGGTCAGTGCCTGTGTGGAGGACAAGGCTGGTCTGTGCTGTCTCCTCTAATGCTGTGCCCCAAGGGCTTTGCTCTGTTGGCATGGTCTGGCCTCCTTCCTAACTTCCCGCTGTTTGCAGCCAAATCTTATTTCTGGCCCTTTTTGACATTTTGCCAAGCTTGCTCTCAGGAGATGTGGCTGAGCTTTAAGTGCTGGCTGCTACCACCGAGAGGAAGTGGTTGCCTCTGTGGGTTCAGAGGAACCAGGTGACACCTCTTCCTCTGAGCAGAGAGAAGGGGAAGGTGGCAGCAACAGGGCTGTCTTCAGCCACAGTGCTGTGGGCACAGGAACTTTTATTTTGCTTGACTTCACTCTCCCCTGGCTGCTGCTAATTGTCCTTGTCTCTGGCAGCTTGAACCAAGAGCTCTGCCCAAGCATGGTACCTACCCTGGCACCCTGGCCAAGGTGCAGGTTTCAGAGCATCCTCCACGGGCAGGAACAGTCCCTGCTGCAGAGCTCTCTGTGGCCCTCTGTGCACCATGGGGATTGCTACAAACCTTGCCTTTTGCCAAAGGGAATGCCACACTGCTGGGAAAGCCTGGCTCCTAGGGAGATGCTGTGCACTGGCCGTGGAGCAGAAGCTGCTGGGTTCTGGCAGAGTGCTGATTATGTGCAAAGTGGCTCTCCTGGAGTTAGGAATGACTGACTCCAGCCATCTGAATCTACCAGGAACTGTAGTGCAGATTGGCACCATCTGGCCTTCCCAAGAGTTTGTTAACGTCACTTCATTGAAGCCTTTCCCGTGTAGTAAATACAGAGCCACCCCCCATTCCCCCAGTGTTCCTGTGCTCAGGTGTGACTCACCCTTGGGCTTCCCAGCATGGTGCTGCTTGCTGGCATTCAGCATTGCCTGCTTTTTCTGCACCTCCGTGATGGAAAAGCCTGGAAGATGAAGCAGATTTCTGTCAGCAGCAGGTCATCATTTGGTACCTCAGGAGAAGACAGGGGTGGGCAGATGCCTGAGGTGAGAGGCCACAATTGCTGCCAAGGCTGGGGGGCACAGCCTGCTCCCCCAGCCTGTGCTGGGCTGCACAAACCCCCCTGCAGGCTTTGCTGCCTGCCCTCAGCCCATGCTGCACTGGGGGGAAGAAACCACTCCAGGCCACTGGTGGCTGAAATCTTTCAGATCACACTAGGCTGAATTGAGAAGGATTTGGACAAAACAACACAAACACTCTTGGACAGTGAGAACCCTTGACTGAAGTTGTTCTATACTGCTCTGGACCCTGTATGTAATGTATTGACTACTTTGTCAGCCCTGCTTGAACTCCTTAAGACACATCAGCCTCCCTGAGGACAAACTGCAGTGATGGCTTATGGTGGTTTACAGTTTTTTAATTGCACAGATTCATTCACAATGTGTAATACAGCAGCCCAGAGCTGCCCTCGAGCATGGGCTGCCTTCCCCACTCTTTCACTCCTCAGGCATTAGCCAATGGGTAAAAAAGGATGAAAAACCAATAATAATAATAATTATTAAAAAACAAAAGTCTCCCAGCCTTGCTCTTTCCATACCTGTCTCCTGGTCGAGCTGCACCTGCCTCCTTTCATTCTCAAACGCCTTCAGCCAGCGCTGTTTCTGCTCAGGCTTTTTTGCACAGAATAAGTGGACTTCCTCAGTGTCTCTGCAGTGCAGCTTAAATGCATTTTTCACACTGATATTGAAGTCCTTGTCTTTGCCATCTTCCACATCCAGTATTTCCATGTCATCCATGCTGATCCGACTCTTGTAGTACAAGATGTCCCTGCGCAGGAGGTCCTGTGAGAGAGACCACAACATATGGGGCTGTTCTTGGGTGTGATGGGGAATTTACCCTTCCTGCTATCATCAGAGACCTGTCAAAGAACTCATACTGGATTTGAGTCTGTGGAACTGCAGAGTGCTGAGCTGCTGTGGGCACTGCAGGGAACCACAGTGCTTGTTCTGGCTGCTGGCTGTGTTGGGGCCTATGTGCTGCCCTGAAGCTTGGGTGTTACACATGATCCCAAATCCTCATTAGGCCTCTGACAGAAAACACTATTTGAATCTTTCAGTTCCAGTTAAAAGCAAAAATAATACTACTTACCTCTTGGGTTTTTGTTGACAATGAAAAGTAACTTTGAGGACAGTGATTTTCATACCTAATTTACCTGGAGCTACCTGCATGCTGTGGAATATGTAAAAAATAGTTGGCACATTCAGTTCTGAAATTCCAGTGGAAGGTACTGTTCATTGGCTCCAAGAGGGAAGATTTCTGTTATTACTCAGCTTATGAAAAAAAAGCTGTACTTACAGACTTACATGTGCTGTTAGCATGGCCTTACTGACTGCCAAGGCCCACAGCTGTTCATCAAACCTGCAGTTTTCTCTGAATACAACACTAAGGTGGAAGTTCAGATGAAGAACAAGGTATTTAAAAGAACTTCTGTGACAATACTCATAACAGAGTTGTACAGAATAACCCCAGAAGCTGTGCAGGGCTTTCCTCTTTTGCTGTGAGATTAGGCCAGTAGCTGATTGCTGTGCTCAGGTGCACAGAACACCCCAGGACGTCAGAGGAAAGAATGTACAGAGTGCCAGGAGCACGTGAGGCCAGCAAGGATTAAGGAAACAAAGGGGTGGAGAGAGAGCTCACTTAAATCCAGCAGCACAGCAGCAGCCAGGTTTCATGGTTACCTTCTTGCAGCAGACAAGCTGGTGATCGAAGAGGAAGAACATCCTCTGTTGGCTCTTGGCTTGAGGGTGGGAGATTTTGGCTAATTCCCCAGAATAGATGAGTTCTGAGCTTCTGACTAGGACATCTTCTCCCTGAGAACAGCACAAAGAACAGGTTGGTCTCAGCCTCATCTCAAAGTGGGAGCCTGAATTCCTGCTGCCAGAACTTGTGTGGGAATGAGAGAACTCTGTGCTGGAGGACAGTCCTTGGCACATCAGGGAGACACTGTGCCCCTGGCACCCAGGGGGTGGGACCTGAATTTGATTAGAACAATCGTGTGTTACATTTTTTTAAATCTCCTGTTCCATGGAGTCTGCTCAGGAAAGCTGCTCCATCCCAGATATAAAGGAGGCACATAAGCAGGGAGCTAAGAATTTAGCCTGACATCCTTGGGCAGAGAGACAGTGTGGGTTTATTGAGTCTAGGATTTAGAAAATCTGTATTTTGTTTCTTTTATTTAGCAATTTTTTTTTAATGAGCCTACAGGGAACCTTGGTTTCCACTGTGACTATGCCAGAAGTTGCCTTTCTGCAACAATAACCTGGCATGCTAAGAATTAAGGAGCAGTTCTGCTCTTCTTGAAAGTTTGAACTCACTCAAGATAAAATGGGGGGCAAGAGAAAAATAATAGAATTTCATTAACCTACATGCTGATTTCATTCTGCAAGGAAAAACAGGGAAACAAGAATCCCAGGGAATGTGCAAAGGCAGCTGTTCTAGCTGGGTTATATGCCAGACCTGCTCAGCTGTACTAAAAGACCATAACTGTTTAAATAAAAATCAGAGAGCTGAGGTGGGGCCAGACAGTGAGATATCACTGTGGAGAGAAGCTGTAGGAAGGGCAGAAGAGGAGCAATGTGGAATTCCTTGGGCAGGGGGTCCCCTACCTCCCAGTCCTCTATGGAGCTCTGCCACTGGGCGATCTTGTCGATGTTCTCCAGCCGCCGCTTGCGCTCGTTGATGAGCCGGGCCACGTTCTTCATGGCATTCAGGGCAGCCTCCACGTCCTTGAAATCCCTGGGGACGGACACAGGCCTCACGGTACTATGATATTTTTTGAAAAATCCCTTCTCCAGGACTTTTTCTCCTGGGGAGCTTCAGCTTCTCCTTGTTTTGCTGTTTTAGAATGTGATTTGGTGAATTGTTTACTCAGCATGTCAATTGTTTTAATTTAATGACCAATCACAGCCAGCTGTGTCGAGGCTCTGAGGAGTCAGTCATGAACCTTCATGATCCCTTTTTTTGCAAGCCTTCTGTCTGTATCCTTTCTCTTTCTTTAGTATAGTTTTAGTATAATAATATCATATCATATCATATGTCAGCCTTCTGAGAACTTGGAGTCAAATTCTCATCTCCCACCTCGCCCTAAAGCCCTCACAACACCACAGCCTCAGGCTTGGCAGAATGGCACTGGGGTGTTGTACCTGCACTGCAGAGGAGAGCAGTGGCACAGAGCTGGGGATGGAAGCAGGATTCCACCTGCAGTCTGTCCCAGCTGTTCTGTCCCTGCTCCTCTGGCAGCTTCTCAGACACTCCTTGGTTCTGAGGCACAGATTAGATGTTGATTAGAACAATAGCGCGTTACATTTTTGAAAATCTCTTTTTCCAGGGAGTCTGCTCAGGAAAGCTGCTCCATCCCAGACATCCCATCCCTTTATGTATAAAGGAGGCACATAAGCAGGGAGCTACGAATTTAGCCTGTCATCCTTGGGCAGGGAGACAGTGTGGGTTTATTGAGTCTGGTAACAAATCTAGGCCACCTCTGGGGAAGGGAAGGGCTAAGTAATCAAATTTAGCTACAGAGGTGTAAATAGGAATTGCTGGAAGAACCTGCAGGTTCTCCTTTTCTTTCTGCAGCATAATACAACTCATTCACAATGCTGCTGTGCCATGCAGGGACTGGTCTGTGGTGCAGAGGTGAAGCAGTCCAACAGTGCCTGGCTTGTTTCAAACATGAGCTGATGGTTTATCTGGCAGGGTAGGACAGAGGCTGAGCTGCCCTCCCCCACACACCATCTGTGGCCACCAGCCACTTCTGCTGAGTTCAGAGCTGCTGGGAAGGAGCTGAGCTGCACAACTTGGCTCTAAGGCAACTCTCAAACATCTCTGCACTTCCTTAAGCAACAAGACATGCTTAAAACCATTCTTGGAAACACAAGGGCTGCAATTAGGAAGGTGAAATTAAGTCAAACCACAGTGGACCAATACCAACACTTTCATAGAGATTTTTCATGTTTTCAGGCACTTAATTAAGTGGCAGTTATTTGAGCCAAAGGCAGTGCCCTGACCCTGAAAGTGGGCGGTGGATTTGGAGACTTTGGAGCTGGCACTGCCAGGGCACCAAGTGTGCATGGCCTGGCTGCTGCAGGGCACAACTTCCCACTGGGGAAGTGCAGCTGTATGGGCACCTTGGGATATATTCAACCAATGCTTTTGGAGGCAAAGTTCTCAACACCACCACCAGAAACATGGACAGAAACCAGGACAAATACAAGCTCCAAAGTACGTATGTGCTGGTATTACAGATACATGAGCCAAATAAAATAGAAAAAGGCCATTATATAAAGTGGACCTTGTAACTCTCGATCTGTGACAGGAAAGCTGAGTGCTGTTGTAGTGGAAAATTATGTAAATATACTTTTATCATATACTTATAATAAGTTATAAGTTATTATTATAATATTATGTTATTGTATTATATTATATTAATATAATATAAATGTATATAAGTATAATATCATTATAATATTGTGTTATATAATTATATAAGCATATTGTACATTATATTATATATTATGTAAATATACTTTATAAAATTACATAAATATACTTTTTTCCAGGTTTCTATGAGGTAACCTGTAAGAATTGAGCTGGCTGCAGTTAGCCAGTGCCCTCCATGCACGAGCCCATTTCCATGGGAGCATCCTGGCTCCTTCCCCGCCCCTCACTGTCCTACCTGTGCTGGGGGTTGGTGTACTTGAGCAGCTCTGCCAGCTGCAGGGGGTATTTGCAGATTTTCTGCACGGGGGTGAGCAGGAAGCCATCCAGGGAGATGTCAATCATCTTCTGCAGCAGGCGGCAGGCCTCGAAGAAGTAAACGTACTTGTTCACCTTGGCCAGGCGCGACAGCTCCAGGCACGCGTTGGGGTGGTTGTTGCAGTACTCGGAGTAGATCTGAAACTCTGTTTGCTGCAGGGCACAGGGAGGGAGTTAATGCCCTGTCCCTCAGGCCATGCCCTGCCACAGATTCCTGGTGATTTGTATCCTCTAACTGGAGCTGTTTGGTCATTTGTGTCCTCCCCAGGCTCTCAAACCCAGAGACTTAAAGCTGGGGGCTGGCAAAGTGTGTCACAGCTTCATCTGAGAGACCCAGACATTCCCACACATCCTGCTCTGGGCTCAGCTGAATGTGGGCTTTTAGTGCCCACACCAGTCACAGCTGATCCTTCACTGACCTCAAAATACCATTACTGTAAACTCAGTCCTGCTTGAGATTTTGGAGTCTTCCTACATTTTCCCTGAGGTACCAAGGGCTGGAAGGGATTATAGTGTTCAGAATATAAGGTGCTTTGAAAATGCTCTTTCCACAGCCACAAGAGCTACAGGATATTTCTTTGGGAAGTGGTTGAGCAGGGCTGGGATAGAGGGTGGTGGAATTTAGTTTGGTTGGATGGGTCTTTTTTAAGAAAGCTTCAGTTCTGTCAGATCAATTTCCAAATCCTCTGGCTCAATCCATGCTCAGCTACCCCTTTCCCATGAAGTCAAATTTACTTACATATTCCAAGAAGCATGAGCCAACCTCACTCAAATGTGGGTGGTCTTTGTTAAATTTCTTCTCTAGTGCTTTAACAAATTTCTTCTGGCACCTGTAGATGTCCTCAATATTCCCAAAGATTGTCTTCAGCTGTTCCTCTGTAAACATGTCGGCTCTCTTGCGGCACTGCTTAATGTAACCCTGGAGAAAACCAGATTGGAAACCTCCTGGGCATCTGCTCTGTGGCACAGAAAGCCTCAAGGACTGCACTCAGTGTACACCAGGTTCCTGCATTCCCTTCCTGCAGATCTGGACCCATCTGTAACTATTACTTCCTCTCATGTTACCCTAAACATGGTACAAATAGAAGCTGCCACAGATTCATGGCAGCCCTGGGTGATGCTGCTGAAGGAGTCACAGAGCTCCTTTCTCTCTTGCTGAAAAAGCCTCTCTGTGTCTGCAGTGAGGTGCTCTGGCCCCAGCACTGGTAGATTCAGACCAGTTAAGTCCAGGTGAGGACCTGGTTTGGTGTCTGTGAGAGGAGCTGCCCGAATGACTCCAGCAGAGGAGAGCTCTGAGGGGCAGGGGGACTCTGCAGCAGGAGAGGCTTGTTTGTATTTACAAATGTGTGCTCTTTGCCCCAGCTGCCTCTGCTGGGAGCCACTTTTGGTACCATTGCAGTGGAGAATTCTGTTCCTGCAAAAATTCCAACTGCCTTCACTCCCCCAGTGTACAGGATGGATCTCTTTTAGAAGAGGTGGCACAATATTCAGCATATTTGACAGTAAAGGATCCAATTGGCTGAGCATCCCCAGTTGTTTTGGTCTGAGCATGGCTTGCCTGAAGGCTGGAGTTGCTGATTATATTACCCCAGAACATATATTAGAGAGGACAGCAGTGCTAGACATTTATTTTTCTCTGGCTTGGGAAATTCAATTAATTCCATTTAATCAGAGCACAAGTGAGTGCTTCAAATGCAGAGGCATTTGGGATTTTGCTGTAATGAATTGTTTTCTGTTTTCTGACCATATACTGGCATTCAGCAGAACTGATGAAAATCCAGTCTCATTTTCAGAAAAGTTACCTGCTTAGGGTGCCTCTCTGGGCAAGCATGGGACACAGTCCATTATCCTTCAGAGGAGCTCTTACAGTCCCTTCCCCCTTTAGTCCTTACCTCACAAATGTCCTTCAGGTGCTTGATGTAGTCTCTCTCGGTGCTTATGATCTCATTGATGACGTTGGTCCTCATCTGGTCTTTGGTGGTCTGGCCCATCCCAAAGCGCCGGGAATCCTCCTCTCTGCCCCCCTCCACCTTCAGGGGATAATCCTCCATGGGCTCATCCTGGTTCACCCGCAGCTGCAGGCACAAGATGCTCACTGCTCCCACTGCCAAACACCTCTGCCAGGGAAGGGCTGCATGGCAGACACACACTGGGCTGGGCAAGGTGAGAGCAGGCTGTGTGTATTGCCTGGAAACATTTTCCCCCCGGGGAGGCTGAGGCCAGACAGTCACTGTGGGGAGGGCACAAGGCAGCTGCTCCCACCCTGACATGGGTGGGTTTAGGCAGGCATTTCTAGTGCACAGAAGTTACAGGAATAATATGGAGTCCTTTAGGAATAATACATATAAAATCAGGACAGAAATGGTTTATCAATTGAAATTTTCTTAAATATTTGAAGGAATACTTTGGGGGGGGGACGGGGAGAACCCGTAAATGGTTGGTTTTTTAACTACTTCATTGTTCTCACACTGTCAGTAACAGATGGCCCCTCGGTGTCTGCTTCCCCAGGATTATTTAAAGAGACTTCATTGCTAAAGTAGAAGCAGATCAGCTGCCCGTGGGCACCGAGGTGGGGAAGAAGGGCAGAGCCCGGCAGGGCGGTGTGGGACTCTCGGTGTCCCCCATCAGAGGGCAGCACAGCACGGGCACAGGGAAGCAGCGGCTGGAGGGCACCGCTGCTCGGCTCGCCACAGATCCGAGCTAAAGGGACACTGCCACACAGCCCCGAGCTAAAGGGACACTGCCACAGCCCCGAGCTAAAGGGACACTGCCACAGCCCTGAGCTAAAGGGACACTGCCACAGATCCGAGCTAAAGGGACACTGCCACAGCCCTGAGCTAAAGGGACACTGCCACACAGCCCTGAGCTAAAGGGACACTGCCACAGACCCGAGCCAAAGGGAGACTGCCACAGCTCTGAGATAAAGGGACACTGCCACACAGCCCCGAGCTAAAGGGACACTGCCACACAGCCCCGAGCCAAAGGGACACTGCCACAGCCCCGAGCAAAGGGACACTGCCACACAGCCCCGAGCCAAAGGGACACTGCCACAGATCCGAGCTAAAGGGACACTGCCACACAGCCCTGAGCTAAAGGGACACTGCCACACAGATCCGAGCTAAAGGGACACTGCCACAGACCCGAGCCAAAGGGACACTGCCACAGATCCGAGCCAAAGGGACACTGCCACAGACACGAGCTAAAGGGACACTGCCACACAGCCCTGAGCTAAAGGGTAACACTGCCACAGCCCTGAGCTAAAGGGACACTGCCACAGACCCGAGCTAAAGGGACACTGCCACAGACCCGAGCTAAAGGGACACTGCCACACAGCCCCAAGCCAAAGGGACACTGCCACAGACACGAGCTAAAGGGACACTGCCACAGCTCTGAGCTAAAGGGACACTGCCACAGCCCTGAGCCAGAGGGACACTGCCACAGCCCTGAGCCAAAGGGTAACACTGCCACAGACCCGAGCCAAAGGGACACTGCCACACAGATCCGAGCTAAAGGGACACTGCCACAGCTCTGAGATAAAGGGACACTGCCACACAGCCCTGAGCCAAAGGGACACTGCCATAGCCCTGAGCCAAAGGGACACTGCCACAGACCCGAGCTAAAGGGACACTGCCACAGCCCTGAGCTAAAGGGTAACACACTGCCACATAGCCCTGAGCTAAAGGGACACTGCCACAGCTCTGAGATAAAGGGACACTGCCACAGATCCGAGCTAAAGGGACACTGCCACACAGCCCTGAGCCAAAGGGACACTGCCACACAGCCCAGAGCTAAAGGGACACTGCCACACAGCTCAGGCATGGACTGCAGCATTCCACTCTGGGCTTCCTTTTCTGGCACTGCTGAGTGCCCTGGGGATACTCTGTACACAACCCAAAGGATCCATCCCAGCACAGAGAAGGAGTTAAAGTTAGGAAGATAAACCACACATAATTACAGGAATTTTTAGTACAGTGACACAGAACTGCTTTAAACTTTTAATGTAGTTTCTTCTAGGCTCTATAATTTACCACTTGATATAAATACACCTACATATAAAACACAGTGCATACCCTCCCTTGCCAGCACAGGCACAGATTACATTTACTCACTGCTGAAGTTAATTCACTCACTGCTGAAGCCCTCAAGATGTACAACCCTGGTTCTCCTTCACTGTGAGCAGGACATCGGCAGCTCTTAAACTCAGAGCTCGGCCTGAAACTCAAATGTGGAGTGACAGAGTCCTGCAGTCTGAGCCGAGCCTCCAGACATACCAGCCCTCCCTGCAGTGAGCTTGAGCCAGTGGTAATTAGCAGGAAATCTTCAGCTGGATGCTTGACTAAGTGTTGGGATTCCTCTGTTAAAAGAATTTCTTACTCTGTATCCCCAATGCCTAGTACTGTCTGCTTTACTCTAAGATGACAAGTTTTTGCCAGCCAGGACAATTCAATTTATCAGTAACATGAAAGAAAAAAAATTCAGTGTTTTCATTGCAAGAAAAAGCAGTGCCGAGGTCTTGGTAATCTTATTTGCAAAACATTCCACTGTTTGTATTAATTATGCAGCTGAGACTATCCCCTGCAATCTATAACAAAGCATTTGAAAACCGCCCCACTTCTGCAAGGACTTTTGCTACAGACACCGGATGACCTCGTGTCACCTCCTTTCATGCTCCACCTGGTGCTGGGTCACTTGTGATCTGAAGTGACCTGGATAAAGAGCTAAAGGGCTGAGAATCTCTGCCCTTAGGCACCTCACTGCCTTTGCAGCGCTGAGGAGCCTGCCCCGAGCTGGGGAAAGCTGTCAGGCACCCACAGCGACAGTCCCAGGCAGGAGAAAGGAAAAAAGCCTTTCTCCTCCCAGCGGGACAGCGAGCACAGCAGTTACCACCTCCCACTCTCCTGCTTTCCCCCTGCTTGCCCTGATGTGTTTCAGAAAGCTCTGCTGGAAATGGAGCCTCTGCAGGGCGCTGGGCTGCTCTGCACAGCTCTTCTGTGTGGGCTTTGAAGCTGGCACCAGGGGACAGCCTTGGCCCACGAGAACTGAGTGTCTCACATTGCCCCAGATCACTGCCCAGATATTTCTTGGGGTTTTCTCCTCCATTTTTTAGTGCCTGGCTCGCAGTGCCAGCAGCCTGGTGGGGCTGAGGAGGTGCATGTGTGAGTCAGGTGGGTGCATCCTTTGGCTGTGGCACTGCACTGGCCCCAGCACAGCTGCAGAGAGGTGCCTTTGGTGCCACACTCATCTCTATTATCTAAGTGGACACTGGAGTGAAGAATCCAGGGATCTGTATCAGGGATTCCTCCAGGAGAGCACTGCTTGCTCCTGGAAGTGGATGCCATGTGCTTGGGCACAAATCAGCCAATGTACAGATGGGAAAGCAGGAGCCAGGCTGCAAACCAGCAAACAGGGCAGCTCCCCAGCTGGCACAGCTCAGCTCAGCTCTGCTCTGCTCTCCCCAGCTGGCACAGCTCAGCTCAGCTCTGCTCTGCTCTGGTCTGGAGCTGAACCTTTTGCCCTGATTTACTCCTGTAGAGGGACTTCTCCACACTGGTGGGATGCAGTGCAGTAATGCTGTGTGTATCTCTGTGAAAGCAGGGGATGGATCCATGTGGCAGCAAAACCAAAAGGGTTATTGATGTATTAAAACAACAGAAGTGCCTCAGAATGGTCATGTAGAAATTAGAGCCTCTCCTCCCCCAAAAGGTGGTGGGATCAGCCCAGGAGGGCACCCTGTACTGTAGCCCCTTGTAGAGGAATACAAACAAGACATGCTGAACCATCTCTAGCAGTGAAAGTCCTCTGGAGTCACCACAGAACATTAAACCTGGGGAAGGACAAACACCTGCTGCTCATGGAGAGGGCACAAAGAAAGATGAAGATCTTACCCGAACAAAGCTGGCTGGAAACCAGCCTTCACTGTCCAGAATCCTGCCCCACCACCACTCCTTGTTGGTGGCATCCATCACTTCGATGACATCTCCGGCCTTGAATCCCAGCTCCTGGTCATCCATGGTGACGTGGTCCCAGAGCGCCTCCGCGTACACCACGCTGCCATCGCTGATCAGCTGTGGGCACAGAGGAACAGTGTCAGTCCCTGAGGGCAGCAGCACCCAGTGCCAGCCTGGCTGCAGCCCTGGCACACGTCCTGGTACCTCTGTGCCCCATGAGCAATGAGGAGTGGCTACAAGGCTGGCAGTTGCTTTGCCTTCACTTGCATTTTTTTTCCCTTCAGAATTATTGGCTGGAGCTTTGTGTCAGAGTATGAACCTGCATACACAGAAGTTTCATTTTCATTTAAAAATAAAGAAAAATCAGTTCTTTATAAAGAACTGATAATGGCCCATTGCATCTTGTGCCCCAAAGTCTGTTATCTTCAGCTGCTACTGATCCTTGCAGTAATAGAGAATCAAGATGATCCACTTATCAGAGTCACCTAAGTACAGAAGAATTATTAAAAAAAATTAAGTGTCAAGGAAATTTTATAAGATGCTTTAATAATTAGAAGGTCTGGCAGGAAAAAAAAATCCCTAGTTTTAGCCCAAACTCATTTTCTGTATCAAATCAATACTATTTTAAGGACTGAACTGATATTATCAACAGCATTTATTCAGAATCACTGGCACACACTATGTTTACCACCATAAAAACATAAATTTTGGTATTTCATCCTGCTGGCTTTGCCTCAGCCAGCAAACAAGGCTGTTTCCTGTCAGTGAAAGAGGTTTCAACTGTGTTTCCTGGGGAAGCCTATGGTACAAGAGGGACTCCTCTCTCCTTGATGAACTGAGAGTTGATTATCTGAAGGGTGGTGATGAATGAGAGTTGATTATCTGAGGGGTGGTAACTGGATTGAGAATCTAAAGTTCTATTTTGTGTGGTGGTGGAAATAGGGGGGAGGAGGAGGAATGGTTTTGGAAGGTTTTCATTCTGATTTCTCTGTCTTCCTTTTTTTCATATTGTAAGTTAATAAAGTTCTTTCCTTTATTCCCAAGCTGGAGCCTGCTTTGCTCTATTTCTGGTCACATCTCACAGCAGCCACTGGGGAGAATATATTTTATATATGGGGGCACTGGCATTCCACCAGCATCAAACCATGACAAAGGCTCAGTGGTACCTTGTTTGTGGAGGATGCTCTGGTGCTGCCATTGCAGCTCTGCTTTGGAAAGCCTTCAACTAAAACCTTGAGCATCAATATTTAGAGACAGCAAAAAGTTCTGGAATGGCTGCCCAGGGAGGTGGTGGAGTCCCCATCCCTGGGTGTGTTTAACAAAGCCTGGATGTGGCACTGGGTGCCAGGGTTTAGTTGAGCTGTTGGGGCTGGGTTGGACTCGAGGATCTGGAAGGTCTCTTCCAACCTGGTCATTCTGTGACTTCTGTGATTCTGTGAAAAAGCATTCAGAGGCCTCAGAGCTACTCTGGAATGGGTGGCAGCTGAAGCCTGTAAGGTGGTTAAACGTTGCACTTAAGATGCTTAAAATAAGACTCCTGGAGAGTTTTAAGCAATTATACTGAGGAACAACAGTTATTTACTACATGCTCTAGGAAAAACAGGACCCCCAACAATTAAAAAAAAACAGAACCAAAACCAAAGCCACGTGTCTGGAAGCTGCAAGGGAGCTCTGAGCTCAGTGATGCCTGGTAGCACTGCTGACCATCCCCACCTCAGCTGTGGGGTGCCCAGGTGACACCTGGGTGCTGCTGCAGGGGTGTCTGTGGGCTGGGCCTGCTGGCCACCACAGCAGCAGTGCCTGATGCCATTGGTTTATCAGGACAGTGTCCCTTGGATTTCCACAACTCCAGAGCACACTCACAGGCTTCTCAGGGCCTGAGTGTGCCTGGGACTGCCTGAACACCAAAGGTTTTCCCAAGAACATGGAGTGCATACTGGAGTTCTGCCAAAAAGCACTTGGCCACTTGGAGTGGCAGTGAAGGCCTGTTTTTCTCCAGGGAAATGGTGCAAAGATGAATTATGGGAAGACAACAGGAGGACAGTATGGGAGGCACACAGGAGAAAGAGAGAAGCTGTAGGAAAGCCAATGCCCCTGGTAGGTGTCCCAGCAGTGACACCACAGCACACAGGGCATGGCCACCCTTGGCCCTTGGCTGCTCAGTCACCCAGAGCTCTCCCCTGCTCTGGGTCACTGCTGCTGCCTCTCACAAAGGAGAGATGCACATTGGAAAAGAACTCAGCACAATCATCAGCTGAGTAAATCAGAAGAGGGTTAACGAGGCATTTGAAAGCAAATTGAAATGCAGTCTGCCTTTGGATAGCAAATGGCCCTGCACTGAACCAGAAACAGCTTAATGCAGTGTTTCCATTCTGACAGAAATAACAGCATGATGGGGAAGGAGAGGGTGAGAGGTTCCCACTTATCTACACAGCCAGTGTAGCCAGAGCTAGGAGGGATGCAGTGCAGGGATGCTGTGTGTATCTGTGAAAATAGGGGATGGATCCATGTGGCAGCAAAGCCAAAAGGGTTATTGATGTATTAAAAACAACAGAAGTGCCTCAGAATGGTCATGTAGAAATTAGAGCCTCTCCTCCCCCAAAAGGTGGTGGGATCAGCCCAAGTGAGTGCATCCACTAATGCACACAGGATGGGAAACAAACAGGAGGAGCCCAGGGCTATGGTGTGGAAGGAAAACTGGGATACAGCTGCCACCACAGTGGGATGATTTTCACAACTGGAGTGCTGCAGGGGGTGGCCATAAACCCTTCAGAAGGAGCAGCCATGGAAGAAGAGGCAGTGGGGGCAGCCTGGATGTGAGGGAGTGTTTTGATGATGGTGATGGCAGGGGTGAGTGTTCCCCCTCTGCTCTCTGGTGCCCAGTGACAGACCCAGGGAGCAGCCTGGAGCTATGGCAGGACAGCTTTAGGCTGGATATCAGGAAAAGGTTCTTTCCCCAGAGGGTGTGGGGCACTGAACAGGATCCCGAGGGTCACAGCCCAAGGCTGCCAGAGCTCCAGGAACGTTTGGACAAAGCTGTCAGACACAGGGTGGAATTCTTGGGGTGTCTGTGCAGGGCCAGCAGTTGGACTTTGATGATCCTTGTGTGTCCCTTCCAACTCAGGATACTCTATGATTCTCTAAATAGATTTATCCATGATCTGGATGAGGGGATTGAGTGCACCCTCAGTAATTTAGAGGTTGTAGCTTTTTAACATAAAGCAGTGACAACTAGAGTAGGGAAGAGAGTGGATGTAAAAGTGTATTTTTCCAGACTTGGCTCTCAGATTTCAGCTCCAGAAGAGCAGCTGGGCCCTGGGTGAGGATGGTGTAGCCACTCTCACAAAGGGCTCTGCTGCTGCTTTGGGCAATCCATTTGCCCTGGGACTGCAGGGACTGACTGGTGCCTGTGCACAGCACAAGCTGAGCCCAGCTCCTCCTGCTGCAGGGAGGTGTCACAGATATCTTTTATGAAAAATCCTTTCATTAGGATCTTTTCTCCTGAGAAGCTGAGAGGCCTCAGGAACAAAATGTAAACAATAAATATCTGCTGCTGTGGAATGCAACAGGTGCATCTGGGATTGGTCTCATGTGGTTGTTTCTAATTAATGGCCAATCACAGTCAGCTGGCTCAGACTCTCTGGTCAGTCACAAGATTTTATTCTCATTCCATTCCTTTCTATTCCTTGCTAACCTTCTGATGAAATCCTTTCTTCTATTCTTTTAGTAGAACTTTAGTATATACTTTTAATATAATATGTATCATAAAATAATAAATCAGCCTTCTGAAACATGGAGTCAAGATTCTCATCTTTTCTCTCATCCTGGGACCCCTGTGAACAGCACCCCAGGGAGGGAGAGCAGTACAGGGTGAGGGGGTGGCTGGAGCCCAGCTCCTGGGCAGCCCCAGGGAGGGGAGCTGATTGAACACTCAGCTCTCACTGCCAGAGCTGGGCACACAGCAGTGACAGCAGCTGCTGCCACGCCCTGCTGAGTTACACATCCCTGTGGGAAGGGATGGCTGCTGCTCAGGAAATGGCAGAACCTGCTGAACCTTCAGAAGAGTGGCATCCAAACTGTGACCAGCACATAGGGAACATGGATCTTTCTCAGACAAAATTCCTTCTCTGTGGGTTCAAACATGGCAGCCTGGATCAGTGCTCTGAGTGTGATGTGCAGGCTGGCACACACTGTGGCCATGTCCAGAGAGAGACTAAGGGACTCCCTCTAGCACTGAGATGATCACACAACAGAGCACTGATGATGTGAAGGCATTAATGCCACACAGTACCACACTGTCACAGCTTGGTAATGTGATGGGAAGAAAAGAGACCAAGCCTGAGCCAGCATTCACAGCACAGAGGGCTGACACACTCAGCTCACAGAGCCACATGGTTCTACTCAGAGTCACTGAAATCCACAGGGCTGGGGAGGGAATCCTCAGCTCGTATTTTAATCCATCCATTAATATTAATATCTTACATTTTCTCTAGTCAACAACAGCCATACTGTGGATATGACTTAGAAAACACAGGAAGTCACAACTGTGGGATCACCAGCCTGGCATTGCCAGTTCTCAGGCAAAGGAGTAAATAAAATACACCTGAACAACAGGCCAGGATTTGTATAACTGACAACAAACACCATGTTTCTGAGGAGGAATGATCTATAAAGCATGAAATAAAGAGCAAAAAAATATTTCATCTGTTCATGGGATTATCTCAATTACTGTAATACAGCAGCACTGCACACCCCTTCATGTGCTCAGGCTGCCATGGCACCCTCCCTGCCCAGCTCCTCCTGTGCTGGCACCCCAGGGTGGGCAGGGCACACCTGGGTGCTGAGCAGGGATCAGGGATCAGGGCTCTGCTCCTCTCTCCCCAGCTCAGGCTGTGCCTTTTACTGATATTTCCCACTGTGTCCAGTCCAGCTCCTGGGCAGAAACACCCACCACACCCAGGCCAAGAGCCCCTCCTCTCCCAGAGCAGGTACAGGTGGGCAGCTCAGAGCCAGGACTGGCACCTCCATGGCACAGGAGCAGCCAGGGTGCCACAGGCACTGCAGCAAGGAGAGCTGGCCCAGCTAGGGGCACAGCACTGCCCCATCCTCCCCAGGGC